TTTTTTTTTTTTTTTTTTGAGAAAGAGTCTCACTCTGTCATCCAGAGTTGGAATGCCATGGCGTCACAACTCACAGCAACCTCATACTCTTGAACTTGAGCAGTCCTCTTGCCTTAGCCTCCAAGTAGCTGGGAATACAGGCGTGTGCCACTATGCCAGGCTAGTTTTTTTTTAGTAGAGATAGAGTCTTGATCTTGCTCAGGCTGGTCTGGAACTCCTGAACTCAAGCAATCCACCTGCCTTGGCCTCTCAGAGTGCTAGGATTTACAGGTGTGAGCCACAGCTCCTGGCCAAATTTCAGAACTTTCGAGATAAAGAGAAGATCCTAAAATCTTTCAGAAAAAAATAAATCAGGTCACAAAAAAAGAAGTGACGCATGTCTTCTCAAGAATCACATTCAAAAGACAGTGGAGAATGCTTTCAAAATGCTGGGGAGAAATTCTTTTCAACCTAGAATTCCACGCAATCCAGAATTTAAATGTGAAGGTTGGAATACATACTTTCAGATATGTGAGGGCTCAAAAATGTCAGCTCTCTTTCACCTTAAGAAACCAGTAAATGGTCTGCTCTTGGGAAATAAGGTCATTTGTCAAAAAATAGGCACAAATCCACAGATCCAACAGACTCACAGACCCTCTACACTGGTGACAGGTAATTCCCAGGCCTCCTCAAAGCTGCCCCATCATCTCTCACCTACTCTAAACCTGACAGCCTGTTGCTTCCCCCAGGTCCTCCAGAGTATGTTTTCCTCCAGTCTTTATGCCCCAGGGATAAAATAGCTAGAAGCAGCCCACTCCCACTCCCAAGTGGTCCAATAGTGAAATTACTTTTGTGAATTGACTGACAAATCTCCTGTTTGGACAATTTAATGGGTACATCTGCTTTTGCCCTAGCAAAAGCATTTTGAACGCTAGCTTTTTTTTGTTTGTTTGTTTGAGACAGAGTCTTACTTTGCCCTCAGTAGAGTGCCATTACATTGTAGCTCACAGCAATCTCAAACTCTTGGGCTCAAGTGATTTTTTTCATTTTTAATAGAGACGGAGTGGAGGGGGTCGGGGGGAGGGTGTTTCACTCTTGCTCAGGCTGTTCTCCAACTCTGGAGCTCAGGCAATCCACCCACCTGGGCCTCTCAAGAGTGCTACGATTACAGGCGTGAGCCATGGCGTCTAGCCTGAACTCTCAGCATTTAGTACCTGTTGACACGCTGTCCTCCTCTTAGCTTATATGGGAACATTTTCAAGTAACTCTTTTCCTACTGCTCTAATGACTACTAATCTCTTATAGACTCCCACCAATGTGGCGTCTACACTGGCCTTCTCTTTCCTAGTCCTCTTGATTTAACCTCCTTGTAGCTATAAAATCAGTCGGTTCCTTTCCAATCCCAATGCATCTACCTTAGTTCACAGCCTCCTCATTTTGTAAAGAGTTTCTACTACTAGTCTCCTTGCCACCCACCTTGACCCTACTCCCAACCTATTCAGTGTAGCCAAATTAATTCTAAAACATTTAATAGTGGGGCTGCACTCATGAACACCCTTCAATGACTCCTTATCACCTGTAATACTTACACTGCTGAGGAAGTTTGTCCCCAGAGCTTATCTAATCTCTCCAACCAAAAGTCTGGGAAGCCATTCTGCACCGGACTGTCCACGTGCAGCACCTCTCTCCCTTCTCTGCCCGGTTATCCTCTGCCAGTCCTTCCACACCCTGGGCAAGTCTCCCCTCTTTTCTGACCTTCCCATGGCTCCACCGCCCCCAATTACGAGTCCAACGGGTACGACGCCAGGGAGTGTATGTGGGGTGCTGTTTTCAGCCAACCCCGGGCCCGCCAGCCAGGCAAGTCGCCTGACACAGGGTCAGTAAATGCTGGTCGAATAAATGAATGAGAACCAAAGAGCGTCCCCTCTTGGTGGCCCTGCTCTCATGCCGCTCTAGGCCCGGGTTTTGATTTTCTCCGAAGACTTGGAGACGTAAGTCCCTGCATTCCCCTTTCGAACCCGCCCGCAGGAAATCGAACTGGAGCGCACGGGTGAAGGTGCCTCAAACCAGCCTGCCCAGGCCCCGCCCAGGCCCCGCCCTGGGCCCGCCCCCTAGCACCGCCCAGGCCCGCCTCCGAGGCCCACAGCCCGGCTTACGTCACAACCTCGACTTTTCTTTTACCTAGTCTCACCCGCTCCTCCGGGCTCGCCAGACGACCCGGAAGTTGTACTTGCACCCACCCCTTTCCTCCTCCCACAATCCCTCGCGCTCTTTCTTTCCAACTTGGGCCCTGCAGAGTGAGTATGGTGGTAGGGTCTCGACTAAGGGAATCCAGCGCCATCCTCCTCTGGGATTGTGCTGACTGGGACGGCGGGATCTCACCCGAACCGGCCCGGAGCTTCGCTTTCTGGGGAATGGGAATCCACACTGTGTTTACAGGCTCCCGGAGCCTGGCGGGGAGAGTAACTAAGCTTCGGGGATCAGGGGCCGCAGGAGTTTCCGGGTCGGGAACACCTAATGGGCACATATGCACGTACCGCGGGGTGCAGGGCTTGGTGTTGCCGGACTTTTTGGCACCAGGAAGCGGCCCCTGAGCGGCAGCATGGGGCCGGGTGAAACCCGAGGGAAGACTTGGCTTGGCCTCTCTGCTCTGAATCTCCTCTTCGCCTGCGTTTAGATGGCTCCCGCAAAGAAGGGTGGCGAGAAGAAGAAGGGCCGGTCTGCCATCAACGAGGTGGTGACTCGAGAATACACTATCAATATTCACAAGCGCATCCATGGAGTGTGAGTATTCCTGCAATCGGCCGGGCACTTGGGTCTGCTTGTCATTCTCATAAGTCTAATCATCTGGGGCTAGAGGGCATAGAAATGACGCGTTTCCTCTTCAGAATCGCAGGTCTGTACTACACGTACCCTCCCTAAGGTTTACAGGGTACTGCTCTGAGATTCTTACATGAAAACGTGAGACTTGAGTAGTTTTTGGACCGTCAATTTGGAAAATTTAGTGATGATACAATGAGAACATCACTCACTCGTTGCTTTTGTGTTTGCTTTAACCCTGGACAGGCTAAAAGGTGTGTATTTGAGGGAAAGCAAACTTTTTCTTTTTTTGCTTGCTTTTTTTGCTTTGCTTTGCTTTTGTGTTTGCTTTAACCCTGGACAGGCTAAAAGATGTGTATTTGAGGGAAAGCAAACTTACTTTCTTAATATTTAAAGACTGCTGGAACGTTAACTAAAAGAGCTATGTCCTGCCCAGAATGTGAGCACTTATGTGGGAGTTACTGCGTTGCCCGACCAGCACAGACTGAGTTATAATACTATAAGTGAAAGCTTGACATGTAAGAATGTATGGAGAATGTTATAAGGCACTGTGTGGTGGTGACCCAAGTATATTGGTTTTATGGTGTACTGAAATGTAAGGAATGATTTATATTTTTATTTTTTTTTTGTACTGTGTGGGATTCATGGAGGGTACAAAGAATTAGGTTACACTGAATGCAATTGTTAGGTAAAGTCTCTTATGATTATATGTCTCCTCCCCCCCCCCAGTCGTGTCATACACCATGACCCCCCAGCCCCCTCACTTGTCTCCGCACTTTCTCATTCTCCTACCCCCCCCTTGTATTAGGTCATCTACTGCTTTCATATTAGAATAGAGTGCATTGGATTCTTGCTTCTCCATTCTTGTGATATTTTACTAAGAAGAATGTGTTCTTCTTCCATCCAGGTTAATACAGAAGATGTAAAGTCTCCATCTTTTCTAGTGGCTGAATAGTATTCCATGGTATACATGTACCACAGCTTGTTAATCTCCTGAGTTAGTGGGCATTTAGGCTGTTTACACATTTTGGTGATTGTCAGTTGAGCTGCAATAAACAGTCTAGTGCAAATGTCCTTATGACAAAAGGATTTTTTTTCTTCTGAGTAGATGCCTAGTAATGGGATTGCAGGATAAAATGGGAGGTCTGATTTGAGTACTTTGAGGATTCTCCATACTTCCTTCCCAAAAGGTTGTATAGTTTGCAGTCCTACCAGCTATGTAAGTGTTCTCTTCTCTTCACATCCACACCAGTTATCTGCAGCTTTGAGACTTTGTGACTGGGCCAAACTGGGGTTAGGTGATAACTCAAGGTAGTTTTGATTTGCATTTCTGTGATGATTAGGGACAATGAGCATTTTTTTGTATGTTAACCATTTGCCTGTCTTCTTTAGAGAAAGTTCTATTCATCTCTCTTGCTCAGTGATATATGGGATTGTTGGGTCTTTTTTTTTGTTGAGTTTATCAAGCTTTTGTCCAATTCATAATATGCAAATTTTTTCCCCATTCTGAAGGTTGTCTGTTTGCTTTGGTGGTGGTTTCCTTAGCTGTACAGTAGCTTTTCAGTTCAGTTATGTCCCATTTGTTGGAATTGTCGTAGAAGTCTTCATAAAATCTTTCCCCAAGCCAATATCTTCAAGTGTTTTCCCCACAGGAATGATTTTTTTTTTTTTTTTTTTTTTTTGAGACAGAGTCTCAAGCTATTCCCCTGGGTGGAGTGCTGTGGCATCACAGCTCACAGTAACCTCCAACTCCTGGACTTAAGCGAGGAGGGGTCGGGAGGGGGTAGGGTCCCAAGTAGCTGGGACCACAGGCGCCCGCCACAATGCCTGGCTATTTTTTGCTTGCAGCCATCGTTGTTTGGTGGGCCCGGGCTGGGTTTGAACCTGCCACCTTAGGTGTATGTGGCTGGTGCCTTAGCCACTTGAGCCACAGGCGCGGAGCCAGGAATGGTTTTTAATAGCAGAATGTTAACATACTTAAATACTGTTTGGTCTTCAGCCTGGGGAGCAGAATTTCTTGCAACTTACTAGGCAGTATCAGTACCACTGTCTTTGTAGGGTTTGGTTATGTGGCAGCATTTTTATTTTTTTTTCTTTGGCCAGGGCTGGGTTTGAACCCGCCACCTCCGGCCTATGGAGCCAGGGCCCTACTCTTTTGAGCCACAGGCGCCACCCATTTACTGAGTCTGCTAAGGAGTGTCATGTGTGTTTTATTTGGGGTCTCTGAGATGACTTCTGAGTCTAAGTCCAGTGTCTGTGTCTCTGTTAGTCCTGGTTGTAAGTAGCTGCATCTTTCTCCTCCTTCATTTGAAACGGGCATACACTCACTTAAGGGGCATGTAAAGCACTTAACTGTATCAGGCACTACCTCAGGCCTTGGAGATGACAGCAGAGAACCAAAGACCTTACCTTCTTCCTTAATAACAGAGGAACCTAGGCAAGTATTTAGATAAAAGGTAGTTTTTTAAAAAGTCCCCAGGAAAGCAAGACATGGGTTGAAATGGTGCTGCCTTAAAGGCCACATAGATGATGAAACACTTAGTTCTAAAGTATATGCCTGTGAGTTGCACAGGTGGGCTAGAGTTTTAGATATTTTGTACTTTGTTGCAAGGCCATTCATGCTACTGTATCATTGGGTCATTTGTCAGTCCTAGATTGACAGTTTCATGACAATGCTTTATTCTTAAAACTCCAGGGAGTTGTCTTTTCTTCCTACTTTACTAGCTGCTCTTCAGTCTCCTCACGTCCCTCTTAATGTTGAGGAATTCCGTATTTTCTACCTATACCAATGGTTCTCAACCTTCCTAATGCCACAACCGTTTAATACAGTTCCTCATGTTAGAGTGACCCCCAACCCTAAAATTATTTTCATTGCTACTTTGTTACTGTAATTTTGCTACTGTTGAGAATCATAATGTAAATATCTATACTTAGTAATAGCAACCAGCCTTATGGCTTCAAATATATTCAACTTATTTGACATCTTATGTATATGAACAGAAATTTCAGACTTATCCTAACTACTGATGTTTGTCTCCACTCTAGCCTATTTTCTTGTGGTCTTTGCTATTTCATTCATGGGCAGTTTTGTAAATACTGTGGGCTCTGCCTTATGATGTTTACTTTTTTCCCCTGTGCCTGAATTCTCACAGATAACTAAATGGCTGCTCTCGTTGCCATACATCTCAAGTTCAGTAGCACCTTGGCTGTCTGTTGAAACTTCCATACCTTTTTCATAACACTGTCTCTTTTCCCCTGGTTTATCTTTCTCTGTAGAGCTCAGTACCATTTGATGAACTCTGTAGGTTCATCAAGCTATGTGAAGAACAGATTTAGTATGTTTTGCAGACTGCTGTTATTTCTAGCACACTACTTCTAGATGGTTAGGTATGGAAATAGCAAGGAGGCTGAAGAGGGTACAGCAAAGGAGAGAGGTTTACATTCTCTCAGGTGGGATGAGACACCGCTTTGCTATGTTTGGTCTTTACCTGGCTAGAATGGCCTTCTCTTCTCCAAATACTTGGCCTTTTCAGCCTGTGTAAAATTCTACGCTGTTAAGTTTTTCTTAACTGAAAGCATAACATTTAAATGAATCTGTATGCCTTCCTATTGAAGAAAATGCTACTAGAACATTTTGATCAGACAGGAGTTCATGAATGCACGTAATGCTCTTGGGATAGTGCCTTCTGGCACATACCAGGAGCTCCAGAGAATTGACTGTGGTCCTCCATACTCCTTTGTATTCCATGTCCCTGCTCTTTAAGCATAGACCAGGCATCCTCCAAACTGTGGCCCACCAGGTATTTTTGCCGCCACTGCCTGTCCTGCTTAGCAGCCGACGGGTCCCGGGGCCTGCAGTCCAGCCCTCCAATGGTCTGAGGGACAGTGAACTAGCTCCCTGTTTAAAAAGTCTGAGGACCCCTGGCATAGACCAGGTTAATTGCATTTAATGATCTGTTCAGAAACATGGCCTAAGACGTGACATATAAGTATAAATTGTTTTTTTAACGAAGAGCTTCAGTGAAAATGGATTATGAACAATGACATTAAGGTCTATCATTATTTCATTTGAATTTGTCTCGTTTAATTATAATCTGTTCCCTTATGTTTGGATCTTAGGGGCTTCAAGAAGCGTGCCCCTCGAGCACTCAAAGAGATCCGGAAATTTGCCATGAAAGAGATGGGAACTCCAGATGTGCGCATTGATACCAGGCTTAACAAAGCTGTCTGGGCCAAAGGCATAAGGTACTAAAGTTATCTGTGTTAGAAGGTAAACTTTTGCGATGACACCAGCTCATCTAGCTTACTCTGCACAGTCCATACAAGTTCAATAATGTAATTAAGGCAAGTGACCTTAAATTACTGTGGCAGTTACTGGGGGTGAGTTAGCATCTGCAGGGAACCTCTTTAACATGACTATGCACTGAGACCCAAGTGAAGTGAAGGAGTCAGCTGTATGGGGTGGGAAAGAGCATTACATGGAGAGTTCACTTGGGTAAGGAGCAGAATGGTTAGGGTAGGGGTAGAACAAGTGTTAGGAAGACCAGTGAATGAGGATGCTGTCACTACTGGGGGTCCACTACAGGTCAAGACTACTAAGCATCCTGCGGTTAACAGGGTCACTTCCCCAAACAAAGAAGTGTCCGAACCAAATGTCAGTAGTGCTGAGGTTGGGAGGCCCTCCTTTAAAGTATGGGGGAGGGAGACACCGTGCAAGAGAAAGGCTTAAGCTGTAAAGGACACCTGTAAGTGCCAGAGCAAAAGGGAGACCCATGGGCAGCGCCTGTTGCTCAGTTAGGGTGCTGGCCCCACAAACCATGGGTGGCAGGTTCAAACCCTGCCCCAGCTGAACTGCAACAAGAAAAATAGCTGGATGTTATGGCAGGCGCCTGTAGTCCCAGCTACTCGGGAGGCTGAGGCAAGAGAATTGCCTAGTTTATTGTGTGACATGGGGGTCCCAGAGACTGTCACCATCTGGGAAATTTTTAAACCTTTAGGGTTGGGTAAGATGACTAAGAAGAGGAACTTGAGACTCAACTTTGTGGGGGGCGGACATTTAGGAGTGTGGCAGAGGAAAGGTGTAGCATCTGGTGAACCTGCAATGACGTGAGAGAATGTGGTGTCACAAGAGCCAAAAGAAGTTTGTAGGAATCTGGGGCCTAGACAGACACGTTGTACACCTAGGATCGGTAATGGAAGGGAACAGAATTAGCTGTAAAGCCTCTGAGAGGGTGTATAAGAAAGGATAAGTGGATTTTTCTGTGTAATGTAGAAAAACTAAAAACTTAAGTGTTCTTTATGCAGTGTAGCTTGTAGAGTTTTAATGTTGCTTCAAATTTAAATATAACAGAAAAGTCCCATACAAGATCTCACTGGCAATAGAAGCAAAGGACTAGCACATTTAGACCCAAATTTCTGCTTTAGAATATTGGTGTTTGCCTTAACATGCATCCTGAGAGGACACCTGAGAATGTATTTTATTTTCCAAGGAACTGGTAAGCCAGGTTAGAGCAAAAGTTGGAGCATGAGAAGCAGGGAGAAGTGTGAATACAGCTGTTGGTTACTTTTTTGAAAGGAAGCATTGACTTTAGCAGCACATTTATATATTTTTATTAGGAATGTCCCATACCGTATCCGTGTGCGGTTATCTAGGAAACGCAATGAAGATGAAGATTCACCAAACAAGCTCTATACTTTGGTTACCTATGTACCTGTTACCACTTTCAAAAGTAAGTTCCATCCCATAAAGCTGCTAAAAGTACATTATAAGATATCCTTAGCTCTGTTTCAACCTAAATTCATTGCTTTGGCAAATAGGAGTGGCAGGTGTGGTTGTTAATGTTTTTGTAAATTGTGTGTTGGTGTAGTATGATGTAACAGGATACATAAACTGGTCTGTATTGGAGTTGTGAAAAGGTCATGGGAAGCGGAAGCTACTGTGTGCCCAGTCCGTCTAGAAAAGGTTTTTCAAATAGGAAATGTGATGTGGATGTGGGAGTAAAAGCTGTCACTTCTTTTGCAGATCTACAGACAGTCAACGTGGATGAGAACTAACTGGTGATAGTCAGACACATCAAATAAAATTTTAAAATCACCACTGTGTGTTGGTTTTCCTTTTCTGGTTGCAACATAAAAAAATGTGCTTGCATTATCCTAAGGCAATTCCCAATTATGGGAGCATTTGGAGAGCTTTTCCTAAACACTGATACCCATGCTCTCCCCTATTTATCTCTTGGGAGTTTATTTGAAAGGGCCTAAGCAGGTTTTTAAAGTTGAACTACTACCTGGCTTGAGAACCTCTGTCCTAGGTAGGTAGTTGAGAAATTGCAGGCGTGATGTTAATAATTTTATACCTGCATTTCCAGAAATGAGGATATAGAATTCAGTTGCCATTGGCCCCTTCTCACATTGTAAGAAATATAAAGTGATAACAATTGATCTTAGATTTAATGATACAAACACTGTAGTGTTTCTTTAATCTGCCTACATCTAATTGAGTATAATTATCTTTAAAAAACCAATTGATTTCTTGATGAGGTAACAAGGTATATTAAATTCATCCTTAAAGCAAGGTGTTAACAGGATTATAATTCACCAACATTTATGCTAGTGCTCTATGCAAAATGCTGCCAGAAAGGTCTCTTTGAGTCCTTATTGGTGATGGTAGTGCACAGCCCAGGTGGGGGCTGAGCTTCTGCAGTTGGTATACTATCCCCTGAGGCCATAGATGGGCTGGGGAGATTCCCATGTATCCATTAATTGGCATAGTCTATCTACACCTGGAGACACAAGGTAAAAGGAAAAAGTCAATACAAAATTTTTTTATTAAAAAACTTGAGGCCAACATTAAAAGTATGGTTTGTACACATTTTTGAAGGACGTATAAAGTGGATAATAACCAAATATATTAAAATGGTTTCAATTACCAGCATTGAAACAAAAAATTAGTGCAAAAAAAGCCAAATACAATTGCACAGATAGTGGACTCTAGATCTTGAAAGTGGGCATGATTCTTGACCTAACGTTACTCCCAGTGAAAAATGAGGGCTTGGTGCTTACCTTGTCTCTTGCCTAGTAAGCTATATTTGACTTGTGTCCTATCCAAGGACAAAATCAAGCTGGCATCACAGCGTAAGTGCTCATTTCAGCAAATGGATAAAAGATGTGGGAGTCTAATTAATCAAGGGAACTGATGGATACCCTAGAACACTGACATTGTCAGTGGACAATTCTCTTAAAGAATAAATAGAAACGCATGAGGGCTGTGTCCATTCTGACTACGGTTTGTCAGGTTGCTTATTCAGATACCCAGTTTGTAAAATTTTACTCAGAGGAGACTGAAATCTGGGTTTATGGGCTGACAACCCAAGAAACAATCTGGTCGTGCTTTGGCATGGCAGACTCCAGTGTCCTTAGCAACCACTGTCTTGCTACAAGTTAGTCAGCTTGAGTTCAGGCTGTGACTGGCGGCTCACTTCAACGGTTTTAAGATTGTACTGATTGAGCTTGGCATTTTGAAGTTTGGATTTCATGTCTAGTGGCTTTTCAAAAAAGTTTACTAATGATTGTTCAGTCAGAAGTGATGCTAAAATGTGTTCAAGGGAAACGGTCCAGTCCCCTTCTGCCTCCGCAGGAAATGCCTGGGAGTCCTGGGGAGTCTTCCCAGTGTCTGCAAAGACTGAGTCCTGCTCTGGAGAAGGCGCTGAAGCCTGCAGCTCCTCCAAGCACTCCTGGGAGCAGCTCCCAGAGCTGCTGCTCCGCTGCCCCACCTCTCCGATCTGCAGCAGCAGAGTGGTGACCGTGGCGATGGCTTGATACAAATTGTTTTCTTCTGGATCTTCATGGAACATACTGTACAAGGTTTTACAGAACTGGATAAATTCTCTCTGAAATTAAAAAGAAAATAAAGCTCTATACCTTTGTTCTTTGAGAAAAGCACACATATCTAGGCCATACCACCCTGAATGCGCCCAATCTCGTCTGATCTCGGAAGCTAAGCAGGGTCAGACCTGGTTAGTACTTGGATGGGAGAAAAGCACACATTACTTTTGAAGAAGAATATAAGAGAGGATAGTCCCCACCCTTTCAATCTGAAAACTGTCTTAACAATGACAGCTCCAGGGTGTGCTGCTGCTTACCTATACGGTAAGTATTAAGAAATGTGTAGACCTTCCCATAGGATGTGCACACTCTAGCCCACCAAGTCAACTCCAGTGTCCCCAAAGGAACCAGAGCAATGTATGGGCCAGACATGGTGGCTCACATCTGTAATCCTAGCACTCTGGGAGGTTGAGGTGGGTGTATTGAGGAGTTCAAGACCAGTCTGAGCAAGAGGGAGACCCCATCTCTAGTAAAAATAGAAAAATTAGCCAGACACTGGCTGGCACCTGTAGTCCCAGCTACTCAGGATCATTTGAGCCCAAGAGACTGAGGTTGCTGTGAGCTATGATGCCATGGCCCTCTACCCAGGGCAAAAGAATGAAACTATCAAAAAAAGAAAAGAAAAGGGTAACAGAGCAATGTACAGATTTATATAAGGATCTGTAAACTAGGGTTTATGACAGGCATTGGAAACACCTTAAGTACTATGATTAAATAAAATTACGGCATGTTCACCTAGTGGGACTACCATGCAGGGAGGAAAGGTTGTAAACTAGAACAGTGACGCTTGATGTTTTCTCACATTACAAGCACATTCCTGCTGAAATTAGTAACCTAATGTAGGAGAGATGCTTTGGGGAGGATTTAGCTATACAATTACTCTAGGAATAGAAAAACGGCGGAGATCTACTAATTTAACAACTATTTAATCATTTGGAGGAAATATCCATGATTATTTTGAAGGAAAGGAGAAGTATTAACATGGCCCATTTTTGTTTAAAGCGTATCTATAGCCAAAACAATGTTATGGGCCTCAAAATCTTACTGGCAGCTTTGGGTGATGAGATTTAATTGAATTTATCATATATCCAAGCAGCAGAATGAAAATCTGAAGGCCCCACCATAGTAGACAGAGCGGCATTTCTCAAATGTACTATAAAATACTGATCCCACAAGATGGTCTGTGGCTAAAAAGATTGAGAAACTTTGCAGAGTCACTCCCACTCCTGAAGGCGCACAGTAGACAGTAAAGCACAGTATGACTTAAATACCATAATAAAGGAATGTTTTTAACTTTAAGCTGTATTCCCCAAGTATTGGGTGGGAACATCTTTCAAATTAAAAAGAAACCCTGCCACCATCATATACACGTAGCATAGAACCCTTTCCCAGAAAATGCCCAGAGAATTTAGAGACATATATCACATATTAATGATTTCCAGGAAAATGAAGAGAGTACATGAATATTTTTAAATATAGGAGAACGCTATATCTACAGTAACCCCAAATGCATAAATCTTTATCAAAACCTGGATAAATTAATCTAGTGTAAAAACTCTTCAAAAGCACACAGTGTTGTAGGTGGCAGCCTCCTGTTGGGAAGACCTTTAACTATCTGGACTATCTGAATTGATCACAATTTGAGTATTTCCCATTTAATCACCATGACATTCAGCTACGCAAAGTTACAAGATCTTGGACTCAAGGTAAAGGGGCCCAAGTTCAGTTCTCAAATTAATCACTTGACAAAATCATTTGGCAAAATGGCTAATTTCCTGCTATGAGGAAGAAAGTTCATACCTGGCTCATTTTGGGCAATTCTTTCTCAGTTTTATCTTTTTCTTTGGCTAAATCCTTAATCATCTGCTTCAGCTGTTTCTGATAATCAACTGCATCACCTTGAGACAAAGGAAAACAACATACAGTTTAAATAAATTCAATGAAAGCAAAAAGGAAAATGCGTAGGAGCAGGAAGCTGGGGGATGAGGAATGCCACTAAGGAACCTCATTGTAAAAGTGTAAAAAGCAAGAGATTCCCTGGAGAAATGGTTTGCTTTATAGCTGACCACGGATGAGGGGCGTCAGCTGGGGGACTTCCGCTACAAGATAACCTGGGAAATGGCCAACAGGAGGAAGGGACTTGGTGGGGGGCGGGGGGGCTGGTTCACTGGTGTGGGAGTGGGTGCACTAGCAACTTCCACTTGGAAGGTTTCTGGCCTCTGTGTTCACCCGGCTGCTGTAAGGAGTGGTGACCACTGCACGCCTGCCCGCTGCAATAGCACACCCCAGGGGAAAACACAGCAGTGCAAAGAGGTACGTGCCATTGGGCTTTCCGAAAACCAGGGGTCTTGATGTCGACAACAGAGGACTCTTTAATGGTGACTGGCTGTCACAGTCATTTTCAGTGAGTGCTTGAAAAAAAGAGAGAGAGAAAGGTTTAAACTGAACAAATTTTCTGTCTAACAAAAACTGACAACATAAAGCTTTTTAGGCTAAAGTACAGACTAAGCCAGCAGCTCCCAACCTATGAGCTGTGGTCTTTGCAGGGTCCTTGAACCCAAGTGCACTGCCTGGATACACCGAGGAAAGAAGGCCACCAGGTCTGTCTTTTCCTTGATGTATATGGCTACTGCTGTGATTAATAAGTTACAAATTCATAGAAGGACAGTGCTGATGTTCACCTGGAAAAATATGTAGTAAAATTCCATTCTGTGAAGCTAAAATATGTACATATACACAGATAAATTATACATATAACATATTCCAGAAATAAATACACTAGATCTCTGGATGGTGGAATAACTGATAATTACTTTAAATTTTTCATTATATTATTTCTTTATAATTAGCACTTATTGCTATACTTACATAATTTCTTTAAAAGTTGAAAAAGGCTTTACTGAATTCATAGCAGCATCTTATTATTGAGAGTTTTTTCTCTTTTTTTTTTTCCACACTTAAATTATGTTGATCAGTAGGAGTTTTCTTTAAAGGATACCAAAAATAAAATTGTATCTGAGCCCTTCTACATTGCTGGTAGGAATGTAAAATGGTTTAGTCATTTTGGAAAACAGTCTGGCAATTCCTTAAAAAGTTAAATAGAATTATCATTTGTCTTAGAAATTCCAATCCTAAGTATACAATACACCCAAGAAAACGGAAAATATCAAGTACTCACAAAAACACATGCACAAATATTTATACAACGGAATATTATTTGGACATAAAAAGGAATGAACCATTGATACATGCTACAAGACGAATCCAGAAAATGTTACACTAAGTGAAAGATATCAAATACAAAATACATCAATTCCATTTATATGAAATGTCCAGAACAAGCAAATCTGTGGAAAAAGCAAGTTGTCTAGGACTATGGAAAGTGGATGGATTGGGAGCAACAGCTAAAGGCATGAGGTTTATTTTTAACTTTATTTTTGTTGCTGTTGTTGCAGTTTGGTTTTATGGTAGTAAAATGTCTAAAACTGTGGGTGATCACTGCAAAACTCTGTGAATGTATAAAAAAATTAACTTGTACACCTTAAATGGGTGACTTTCCTTGTATATGAATTACAGATCAATAAAGATGCAACAGAATAATAATTATCGGGGTTGGGGGGTGACAAGGAAGGATCCTCATAGTTTAAAAAAGGCTGCAAGTTACTAGCAAGCCATTCCCTGAGAATAAATCAAAGGGAAAATTCAGCTGTGAGTCACCAAATCCACAAGATGGCACCACAGCTTTGCAAAGCTACCCTCTTTCTTTGGAAGGTTGGTTTGTTTACTCATTCTTTTCCTTTTCTAATATTTAGTGTCTTTTCCCTACAACAAAGATCCTGAGTCACTTTTTTCCAACTTTGCCCATAACAAATTCCATGCAGTGGCACATGTGAGAATCCACTCAGAAACTAAATAGGAGGAAAATTAAAAACCTGGGGTAGTCAGGATGGACATATGGTAGAACCTCTTGAAGGTGACCACCCAAGGGACTGTAACTGACCGGTCAACATACAGAGGTGTTCAGCAGAAGGAACTAGGCCTACCCCACTGACACGTACATGTGGTACACATCTGGTCTATGAAAATTAGGTCAACTTAAGGAAGTGGTCAGTGTAGGGAGGTGGGCAGTGATTGATGTTCTACTGTGGATTTCTCAGGGAACAGCTGCTGGGATGCTGAAGAACTTGGTATACCTGGCAGCGCCCATAGCGTAGTGGGTAGGGGCTGGCCACATACACCAAGGCTGGCAGGTTCGAACCTGGCCTGGGCCAGCTAAAACAACAATGACAACTGCACACAACACTAAAAAAATATCCGGGCGTTGTGGCGGGTGCCTGTAGTCCCAGCTACTTGGGAGGCTAAGGCAAGAGAATCACTTGAGCCCAAGAGATGGAGATTGCTGTGAGCTGTGATGCTACAGCACTCAACCCAGGGCAACAGCTTAAGATTCTGTCTCAAAAAAAGAGCTTGGTATACCAAAAAGGAGAAACCCATGTATATGCAAATGACTAACAAAATGCTGTAATGTGCATGCATGTATGAGAGCACACGAAATCAGCGATTAATTCAGGGGGTGGTGCATGTCCAGAAGGGAGGCAGGGAACAAGGAGCCAGGAAGGCCAACCACTCCCCTGAGCAGAGCCCCCCAGCCTCTCTGCCACCATGACACACACAGAAAATGACATCAATGGGCTGGACGTGGGGACACCACAGGAGATGTGAGGCTCACTTTGCAAACTCCTTCCACAATCTGTTTATGATCAGGATTATAGAATACAATGAAGAAGGGAAAACAGTAAATCCTAAGTGTATATATACAATCTTTAAACCTTTTTAAATGAGATCCTCAAACTTTTATAAATGTGACCTTATTTTACACTCCTATATATGTAGCTTGTAACCCAAGACTATACATGGACTGAGAGTCATTTCCTATTAAAGCGTTCACTAAGCCTCTATTACACTAGTTAAAATCAGATAAAGGATTTACATTTACAAAGTCTAAGGTGGGGGTATCTGAAAAAGCCCCATCTCAGACTTTTGTTTGAATGTAGTAGATAACTTTAGTACTTCAGCAGACAGTACCAGCAGGAAAGTTTCTCCTTTTGACTTCCAATCAATGTGCATGGTTTTAATTTTTATACCATTGTCATTACCACTGCTATCTTCCTCGCTTTCTAAATGGGATACCTGCAGAGGGAAAACACCAGTTCCATCAAAAGTGTATCATTCTGGGAGAAGAGCACATGTACTGCTTTGAACACAATTTGGCCTTCAGATGTCACTAAGGCACTATCATCAAAATACCACCATGCCTCACCATGCTTCTTTCTTGCAAAAGCAGCGTGGCACCCTCGCCCTGTACTCCCTGTGGGCGGGAGACAACAAATTATAGCAGCAATGACTGACTCGCGTTTGGATTAATTAGGAATTCTGATATAGCTGTGCCACTGATAGAAAAATCAACTAAGTATCCAATTTGTTTCTCAGATTCCTTTCGTAGGACAAATCAACAACTGGAAGCAAGGATCATAAATCCAATTTCTAAGTGGCTTTTGGCAATTTGGATAAAACTAGGGATCTGCAGCACTAACGTTTTTTGTTGTTGTTGAAAAGATTCAGCAATCTTTTCTGTTTATCGTTTGGTTGGTTTTACTTTAGAGAAAGGATCTCACTGTGTTGTTGCCCAGGCTGACCTGAATTTCAAACTCCTGGGCTCAAGCGATCCTTGTGCCTCAGCCTCTCAAATTGCTGGGATTACAAGTGTGAGCTGCCACACCCAGCTTAATTTCATAAAAGGTTTTTAAGGAAGCTTATAGTCTACACTTCCTATGTTTCAAAATCCTCAGTGGCAGTTTCACCTCAGGATACCAATTCAAAACTAGAATAGATTTTTCATCTAGCCTAAGCTGCCAATTATCAAATCAAATAGGCTTAGTACCCTCTCTGATGTAGCTGTTATCAGTATTGCCCAAACTGTTGAGCTGGGATGTAACCTCAACACATCATCCACTGCCAGAATCAGTATCTCCTCCAACTGATTCTTCATTCTCAGAGGAAGTTCTTAATCCTGGCTGGATTCATCGCTTAGCCAGTCTGCTTCCACTTTACTTGGTGAGCCTTCTTCCTGTGTCCCATCTGGGCCACTCCTATTATTATTTTGGTCCTTAGAATATTGCAGGGACCCTTCAGTTTCTGGGGTTCCAGTAGATATGTTGATATCTTAGCACACTCTCAAAGCAGGAGCGTAGAGAGTTTATCGTCTTCAGCACTGTTTCCTTGTACAATCATAAGACAAGGCTGACTACAGACTGAAGAACCAATATGGTGAATAGAACCTGAGGGCCAAACTTGTCTCTTAAGGAGATACATGCTCTGTATCTCTGATATTTATTTCAAATACATAATATATTCCATTCCATAATGTTATTAAGGTTTTCATCCACAGTGAACATTCTGTGACGTCTATGATTGTAAGAGTCATGTGTTGCTTAATTCCAGGGATACCTTCTGAGAAATTTGTTGTTAGGGGATTTCACTGTTATGTGAACATGACCGGGTGCACTCACCTAGATAGTACAGCCTACTGCACACCTAGGCTATCTGGTATATCCTTATTGCTCCTAGGCTAAAAACCTATACAGTCATGTTACTGTACTGAATACTGTAGGCAATTCCAACACAAGGTAACATATCTAAACACTGAAAGGGAATATCAAAAAGACAGTATAAAAGATTTAAAAATGGCCCGCCTGGATAGGGCACTCATCGTCAAAGGAGCCTGCAGGACTGGAAGCTGCTCTGGTGACTGAATGTGAAGGCCTACGATGTTACTGTACTCTACTGTGAACTTTGTCATCCTCTACATTTAGCCTACATTAAATTTATTTAAAAAAGAAATAAAACTGTACTATGATGGTACTGTGTCACTAGGCAATAGGAATTTCTCAGCTCCTTACACCTTTAAGGAACCCCGGCTGTATGTGTGGCCCCACACTGAGCGAACGGCCTCTGAGTACACACATTAATATCTATCATCTCCCCCAAAGGTTCTCTGGGTAAAGTGGACTGTACAAAGATCATGCGGCTTTCCAATTATACCATGTACATTTGGAAAGCAGAAACATTTTAACTGATAAATTTCCAAGGTATGTTCTTTCATCATAGGCAAAAGGATCAAACATTACCAAAATCTTAGCATGCTCAGAAGTTTTTAACATTATTTTCATACTAATATTAATAGTGAAACAGTATGTGCAATCCATTCAACCAGGACTTTAAAATGATGCCTTCTTGGTGACAGACGGTCACCACCAGAAACAGAGAAGCAGGTGGAAGCAAATAGCATCTTTCTTTTCTTGAGAGAAAGTACTTTCTTGTCATCACTGTCATTACTGGGGACCAGAATGGTTGCAGTACGGTCAATTCTACTTCAAGGGTGGGACCATTCTGTGTATCAACCAGCTCCTCCCTTTCCTTCTCAGACAGATGAAATGTTGACTTTTTTTCAGCTAGTGTGACTATATTTTGAAACCAATCAATACTTTCCCATACCAAGTATTTCAAAATAACAAAAGTTTCCCCCTCATTAATCCACAAATATTTCTGTACTTGTTCTACAAGTATATCTTAGAATTCAAATCATAATCTGATTAAACACCACTAATGAAGCATTTTAACTCTCTTTTTTTCTAAGTTGAAATTCTGCTTTGTTGTCAGTAATGTTACTGTAACTTCATGTGCTTTCAATTTTCAATCACATTCGCTCGGGTTTTCAAACATTTTAAGTCCTTGTTTTAAAGCCAAGAACTATTCTTAGCCAGATTACAAATTGGAATTATTCAAAAGATCTTCCCTTTTAACTCGACTTCTTCACAAAACTCTTTCTTTAGCCAGCAAATCACCTGTTACATGTGATGACCTCAGAAAGAAACCTCTGCGTCTTCACATAAAACTGAACACAAAGACGGGAGCAGCTCGGATTTTACTAGATTCGGTGTTTTAGGAACATTATTTGATGTGGATCCCTAGCAGGCGGCACACCTTTGGAGAGCTACTCTGTGAATACAACAATGTCAGAGCTTCCAGAAGGAGCTTACAATATAAGGGTACCACAGTCCTGCTCTCAGTATGCAAACTCAAAGAAAGCCTCCCAGCTGTCTCATTCATGAGAGTTCATTGACTATTTCCAGTATATCACACTCAGTAGTTTATTCTGATGTTTCTTTCCAATAAAAATAACATTCTCCCAGGAATTTCTGCTTTGGAAGTCCAATCAGTATAATTAATTGAGAAAAATGACCAATATCTGTAGATGTATCACTCTGCAATGAAAACTCCCGATTTCACAATCTTCTGGAATTTTCTTCATCTGTACATCACCTGGCATGGCAGTAAACCATCTGTGACATGTCTTTCTAGACTCTCCGGCTAAACAGTGTTGCAATCGCCAGGGAGCCAATCAAGTGAGCGCTTTGGAAATTCCCAATGGCCAAGGAGCCAATCAAGTGAGCTCTTACGGAACTGTGCGAGGCTCCTAAGTTGCATCCACATACATTTACCACCAACCTCACAAAAGACCCTTGTCTCCTATTATTACTCTGGAACAGTACCAAGCTCTCTCTACAGAGGGTGGGTGTTTGTGGCAGGGTGCCGATGTGCTTGCTTGATATCATGGACTTCTCCACTGGCAAATAAGACTTGGGGTGCATGAGGTAGGGTGAGGGGTGGGGGCTGAGCTAGGAGGGCTGCAGGTAGGGTGTGAAGAAAAACATTGACACTCCAATTGCAACAGTTGCAACCTTCCATTCTGCTGACATAGGACTCGTTTTAATCTTCTGTCTTCCTTCTATTCCTCCTCAGAGATGGCAGCAGATCTTTCCATTTACTGTCTGGGCAAAATTGTGACTTTCTGGAAGAAGGCTTTCCTTACCCTTATAACCTTACTGATGGTTCTATGTCTAGATGCTGTGAGAGAAGGAGTAAGCATTCTGCTACTTACACCCTTCAGCAGACCTCAACCAGCAGACCCACTGCCTGTGAACATACACAGGTGAAACATTTTAGGTTTCAAAGAAATCTTTTAATTTCTGCTTTTTTTTCCCCCCTACTGTTTGAGATGTCTGGTTACTCAGCTGGCACAAGAACTGTCAAACAAAGGAGTACTTAACACTCAAGCAGAAAATACTGAGGCTGCCAAAAAAATTATGAAAGAGAATTAAAAACTAAAATGGATCCTGAAAACCTATGGCAAGGATGAGGGATACATTCTAGAAGCAGAAAACAAAAAACCTAGTAGAACAGCAGGAAAAACTGAAAATTGAATTTAAGAAGACTTCTGATGCCCTTTCCATGGCACAATATGGTGTGATGTCAATGAAGATGAAATCAGAGAGACTTTTTGAAGAATATAATCAACTCCTGAGAGAACATTTGCAGGAGTCCTCAAACTACAGCCCGCAGGTCACATGCAGCCCACCTAGGACATTTATCCAGCCCACCGAGTGTTTTTGCCGCTGCTGCCTGTCCTGCTTAACAGCTGACTTGTCCCGGGGCCCGCAGTCCAGCCCTCCAACAGTCTGAGGGACAGTGAACTGGCCCCCTGTTTAAAAAGTTTGAGGACCCCTGATTTAGAGCTTCAGGATCTTTTAGGAAAGAGAAACAAGAAAGGGCTGTGAACTTGAGGAAAGAAAATTATGATACATTGGGTCAAGATGATACATTTATCATGTTAGTCTCTAGAAAATAGAAAATTCATTTCAGAAAAATGCACCATGACTGGTTAGTAATTTTGTAATACCATGCAGAGGCTGTATCATAATGGTATTATCAATATATTTGATGGTATTTCAGATATATTGAAAAGTCTGTATTCCAGCTCTTAAGAACAATATAAGCATGTTAAATACTATATATACATATTGATTAACAACACTGGTGTACTGTTTACCAATTAAAGGAAAAATTTATTAGCTAGTTACTTCCAAAATTAGATTTAAGTTGCATAAAACCATTAATAACCTTGAAAGCTTTGATGATTTTTTGATAATAATCTATTTAGTCTCAGCACCTGGAGCTCAGTGGCTAGGGCACTGGCCATATACACCAGGGCTGGCGGGCTCAAATCCAGCCCAGGGCCTACCAAATGATGACAATTGCAACAAAAAAAAATACCCAGGCATTGTGGTGGGTGCCTATAGTCCCAGGTACTTGGGAGGCTGAGGCAGGACAATCGCTTAAGCCCAAGAGTTTGAGGTTGCTGTGAGCTGTGATACCATAGCCCTCTCTACCAAGGGCAACAAAGTGAGACTCTGTCTCAAATAATAATAATAATAATAATAATCTATTTAATCAGAAGATGATGATGTGTTTGAAAATAGTGTTTGGTATCAAAAAATTTATTCACAGAGTATATAAGGATAACCAATCAGAATTAGCTACTTTATTTAAAGGGGACAGAGTCAGAAAGAACAACCGATGACCTCGGTTTTTCTTAAGCCTGATGATCCTATGGTTTACTCTAACAAGATAGCTGTGTTGGTCATTATATTTTTGGTGTTATGCTTCTGTACCTGTTGGACTGGGTTTCACTGACATTTGTGTTAATAATGCATATTAGGGGCAGCACCTGTGGCTCAAAGAAGTAGGGCACAGGCCCCATATGCCAGAGGTGGCAGGTTCAAACCCAGCCCCCGCCAAAAACGGCAAGAAAAAAAAATGCATATTAGTAGGCATTCTACCTTTGCCCGTTTATCTAGTAATAAAGTTTACATCTATTTGCATAACTGCCATAGTACTCAACTGCATTCATTTTACAACAATGTGGAATTCTTAAATTGAAAAGTTAATGTATAACATATTCAAAAATCAATGTTTCCTATAGTTGTTAGAGTTACTAATTATACAAATATTATCTCAAGTATACATACTTGTGTCAAATAAACCAAAAAAGACTTTTGGGCTAAAGCGATTTCTTCAAGCACACAAATTCAAATTTGAGGTAATCCACATACTTTCTAGTTAGTGACTATTTAAACATTTTTTTCCTGACTAGTTTGTCTCACCTTTAAAAAAGTTATTCATAATGATAAAAAGCATTTAAGATTAAAAGCAAATTTTTTTTAAACAGAAAATTCCAGAAATAAACTTTCGTAAGTTTCAAATTGCACACAGTTCTTAGTAGCATGATATGGTCTCACACTATCCCCCTCCATCCTGCCTGGGGCAGGAATCGTCCCTGCCCGGTGGATCCACACTCCTCGAGCTTGCACTATACCTGCTACCTGCTCATTACTCATTTAGTAGCCATTTTGGTTATCAGATCAAAAAAACATACTGTACAGAAGAAGGATTCAGCACCATCTGAGGTTTCAGGCATCCACTGGGCGTCTTGGCTTAGGGAGGACTGCTGTGCATGCTCTAATAGTTGTAAACACTACCAGGATCCCAGGGCCCTGGAAGCCTCTGCAGAGTATACCAGCCTCCCTTGGCTCCTGTCTGAGAAGGTCCGGCTCAGGCACCATCCAACTCCAGAACCACAGCCCTAGCGGCCCAGGACTATCTGGGATTTCCAATTCACATCTAGTAGTTTTGAAGTTCTAGGGAACACCTTACTGTCAACATCACGTCTGACCTTATAGGCTTCAAAACATCAAAAACAGCTTCCTGTGGGCGGCACCTGTGGCTCAAAAGGGTAGGGTGCCGGCCCCATATGCCAGAGGTGGTCGGTTCAAACCCAGCCCCGGCCAAAAAAAAAAAGCAAAACAGCTTCCTTTGTCCTTAGTTACTAATGCTTAAATCTCAAGGAAGCATGGTCTTATGTGCAGGAAAAATGAAATCCTTCAAACTCTGTAACCTAAAAGAACCATCTAGTAAGGTCACCAGGGTCTGGCTCCCCAGTGCCTGCCATAGCCAGTGGCTCTCAAGTGTGGTCCTCAGACCTAGTGAGCAAGAAATCTGGGCTGGAGCCCAGTAACGCGCTTTCAGCAAGCCCTTCAGGGACTCTTTATGCACATTTGGGTTTGGGGACTCCTGCTGTAGGCCATACTTAAAATTTGTGATCTGAAACCCCAAACTAGAAACATGTGTCACCTCGAGTATAAATGAAATTTAAAAAGAGAACTTCAGTGTTCAACTTATCTCAAAGCCAAGCCCAGCCTGATTTCCTACTTGGACTTCTTACCTGGAGGGATATGAAGCCTATATAACAGTTTGATTTTCTCATTCATTTCTCCATTATACATAACGTCTGCAAAATTTTTAAAAAGAGAGAAAGATTACGTTGATGCAAATGGTTAAAGTATATTGGTCATGACACAAACTCACTATGGAAAGAGAACTTGGAAAGGTCAACACCTGCCCTCCCCTGCCCCAGACACACACCATGCAAACAAAGAAATGTTAAGGCCCTCTCTGAGGCTCACACCTAGAATTCTAGTACTCTGGGAGGCCAATACTGGTGGATCACTTGAGCTCAAGAGTTGGAGACCAGCCTGAGCAAGAGTGAGACCCCATCTCTACTAAAAATAGAAAAATTAGCCAGGTGTTGTGGTAGGCTCCTGTAGTCCTAGCTACTCCAGAGGGTCTGAGGCAAGAAGACCACCTGAGCCCAAGAGATTGAGGTTGCTGTGAGCTATGACACCATGGCACTCTAGCCTGGACAACAGAGTGAGACTCTGTCTCAAAACATAAAAAATATTAAAAAAAATAATAAATAAATATGAGGCCAGGTGCAGTGGCTCACGCCTATAATCCCAGCACTCTGGGAGACTGAGGCAGGCGGATCGCCTGATCTCACAAGTTTGAGACTAGCCTGAGCTAAAGCAAGACCCCATCTCTCTGGTAGGTGCCTGTAGTCCCAGCTACACTGGAGGCTGAGGCAAGAGAATCCCTTGAACCCAAGAGTCTGAGGTTGCTGTGAGGTGTGGCACCACAGCATTCTAATAGGGGCAAGAAAGTGAGACTCTGTCTCAAAAAAACTAAATAAATAAATATAATATAATATAAAATAAAAATAAATAAATAAGGCCAAGGCAGGTGAATTGCCTGAGCTCAAGAGTTTGAGACCAGCCTGAACTAGAGTGAGACTCAGTCTCTAAAACCTAGCTGAGCATTGTGGTAGGTGCCTATAGTCCCAGCTACTTGGGAGGCTGGGGCAAGAGGATCGTTTGAGCCCAAGAGTTTGAAGTTGCTGTAAGCTATGATGCCACAGCACTCTACTAAGAGTGACAAGTAAGACTCTGACTCCAAAAAACCATATAATAATAATTAATAATAAGTAAATAAATAAAGGCCTGGCTGGTGACTATGTGAGCTATAAGGAAAGCTATAAGGAAATCTTACGAATTAAAAAAAAAAAACAAAAACCTTGTGAATGTTGTCTGGTCTCATTCTTTCTAAAAGAATTTAATTTTATGAACAAAGGTTAAAAATGTGGTTCCCAACAAGCCAGCCCCACCGGAGGGGGGAACCTGGGGACTTAAGGAAAACTGTGGCCTTCCTGGTCCTTAAGGGCAGCTTTTTGATAGAATCTAAATTTTACATAACAAAACCTTTCATTAAAAGGGGTGCAGCAGAGAAAGATGAAGCTTATCTTGCTTCCTTTGGTGCTTAGAAAACATCATGATAAAACCAGAAGGCCAGAAGGCCACAGGATCCTCACCCCTGTGTGGATGTCCAGGAAAACAAGGGGACAGCCTCCTAGGTTAAGAGCCTGGGCTGCCCCCGCACTCCTACTCAAGGAAGCACAAAGGAGGTCCTGACAGGAGCCTGCAGCATGATGTAAGCGCCTCACTGCGTGTACCTGCCTGCCCCATGCTGTGCTCTGCTCACTGACTCACACCCATGTCAGCTCACTGCAGTAAGAGCCACAGTCATACCCAGGCAGCCCACCAACGCTCTGAATTCGATGAGCTGGTCCATGTTGTCATCCAGGAGCCGGAAAGTCCTTTCAGCGAGGATCTCTGTGTGAGCCCCACACGTCCAAGGTGAGACCAGCTGAAACAGGTGTGCAAACTGCCGGGCATCTATGCGGTACTGCTCAGCGTAGGGCCTGCTGGGGTCATGGCGCGGGGTCACAGGCCAGGGCTGCTCCCAGTAACAGCTCATCATGTGCTCTCTCTTAAAACAAGAGAGAGAGGGTGTGTTGTGCCACATGCAGGGCCGGCGGGAGGCCACACAGTAGAGAGCCATGGCTGGGCAGCTCTCTCGGCAGCGCGCTTCTCCCCTGCAACCCCTGCTTACTGAATAAGCGGTGTCATAACACACACAAATGAGCAAAATATTAAATTACCCACAATCTCCCTGCTCTAACCAGACCTGGAAGGGTGTTTTCTTGTTATGCTACAGTCCTTGCCCTCATGCACATGTAATTTTGACATCTTTTCCCCCGCTTCTTATTAAGATTTCCTTTTTTCTCATTGTAGTAAAATATACATTACATAAAATTTGCCATTCTAATCATTTTTAGATGGACAGTTCAGTCAATTACAGCAGACACAACTTTCATTCTGATATTTTAACTTAAACTTTTATTATTTGAAAATCAAAAAAGGCTAGCTAAATCTATAGGACGCAGAAGGTTCTTTGTTAATCATTTCTGAATTTGGAGCCACATGAATATATTAACAATTTTTCTAAATTAAAAACAAAACAAAAGGGGAGTTGGAGTCTTGGAAACACACTGAAAACTAATGCAAATCAAAACCAGTCCTGCCACCAAGGACCAGGGTACCCCCTACAGAATGTATCACTTACAACCACACTAGAGCACCTCTTTGGACATCTCAATTCACAAAAGCCTAAAATGGTACCCAGGGACTCTAGGGCTCTGTAGGGCATCAATGCCCTCTGCCCAGAAGGGGGACGGAAACCAGCACAGATGCTTCAGTCTGCAAGTGCAAATTCTTGATTGGAAGCCAAAATGCCATTTATTCGTCTACCATCATACTCACTGTGACAGCTACGTTATTCAAATAGTCATTACAGAGCCAGGAAAGGTACCGTAAGAACTTTTTCTTTTTTTTTGAAGGCAGAATCTCACTTTGTCATCCTCAGTAGAATGTCATGGCATCATAACTCAGAGCAACCTCAAATTGCTGGGCTCAAGCAAACTCCCTACCTTTTTCTTTTTTTTTGAAGGCAGAATCTCACTTTGTCATCCTCAGTAGAATGTCATGGCATCATAACTCAGAGCAACCTCAAATTGCTGGGCTCAAGCAAACTCCCTGCCTCACCCTCTTGAGTAGCTGGTACTATAAGCGCCTGTCAGAATACCTGGCTAATTTTACTACTTTTAGTAGAGATGGGGTCACCCTCTTGCTCAGGCTGGCCTGGAACTCCTAAGCCCAAGGGATCTTCCTGCCTTAGCCTCCCAGAATGCTGGGATTACAAGGCATGAGCCACCTCACCTGGCCAACCATGAGAACAAAGGTCTAATACATTTCTTACCCTAAAAACCCAAGGCACACTAGGAATTTCCCGGCATATTCATGCATACTGTCCCACTAAAGGCCCATCAATGCAGAAGACAGAAGAGCATGGTCATCACATACAGGCCGAGGACGAACACAGCTGATTTACAGAGTCCCACAGAAACAAGCCAATACAAAAATAGCCAAAGGAAATTAATGGGTGATTCTGCAGAGTATACAATTAGCCAATAAACTCATGAAATGGTGCTCAACCCCATTAAGGAGTAAACAAGTTTAAATTAAAATAAAATCCAATGTTCTCCCAGACTAGCGAAATTGTTAAAGATCCATGATACTAAATGCTGGGTGGGTATGGAATGTGGGGAAAGAAGCCATCTCAGACACCATCAGTGGGATTGTAATTTGAAAAATACTTTAGGGGATTGACTAAAATTTGGTGTATAGACCCCCCCCCATGGCCCAACATTCCACAGAAGCAGCAGGACTGGAGCCCAGAGAAACGCTCAGTGCACTGGTTATGCGTGGACAGCAGCAAAACTGGAAACAAACGAAATGTCCCTCAGAAGGGGGATGATTCAATCCATCACTGTTCAGCCCTACAAGGAAATTCTGCAGTCTCTAAAAAAGAGTAAGAAAAGATCTGTAGATATACTGATCCAGAAAGAAGTCTATGATATATGGTCAACTAAGAAAACAAAACAAAACAAAACTGCAAGCTGTTATGTACAGCACAATCTCACTTTTATGTGGGGGATGTATGTATATATTGTATACAAGTATGTATTGACACATGGATATAATCAGGAGGGAAATCAGGAAAGACATTAGCCATATTACTAACAGTAACTACCTGTACAAGGTAGGATCATAGCGGCAGAGGGTAAGGCCCTTTCATTTCTTGCTTAAAAGTTTTGTTCTGGCTCAGCACCCGTAGTACAGTGGTTACAGCGCCAACCACATACACCAAAGTTAGCGGGTTGGAACCCAACCCAGGCCAGCTAACCAACAATGACAACAACACAATAGCCGGGCATTGTGGCAGGCACCTGTAGTCCCAGCTACTTGGGAGGCTGAGGCAAGAGAATCACTTAAGCCCAAGAGTTTGAGGTTGTTATGAGCTGTAATGCCACGGCACTCAACCATGGGTGACATAGTGAGACTCTGTCTCAAAAAAAAAAAAAAAGTTTGTTCTTCTTTCTTTAAATGTTTTTGTTGAGAGAGCCTCCCTAGTTCTCCATACTGTTCTTACACCCTTAGCCTCAAGCGATCCTCCCACCTCAGCCTCCCAAAGTGCTGGGATTATAGGTGTGAGCCACCACACCCAGACTATCTTTCTTTTTTTTGTGGTAAGAGTAGTTATAATTTCATTTTATTTTTTGTTTTCAATTACATTTGAAAACAGGTCTTAAGAAGAACACAAAGTAATATTAAGGAGACCAAGTGCTCTTTAAGGAATGTAACCCAGCGACAGCTGAGTGTAGCTGCTCGTGGGTAAAACACGTCTGTGAACACACAAGGTGCCGTTTCCGGTCCCAGATGTCTCCAGGAGTAGTGCTGGACACCAACTCTCCATTTCTACAGCTCACATCCTACTTGGAGAGATAAGGCAAACAAAGCTCAACTTGAGAGAGGAGATGTCACCGTCTCAATTTCTGTCATTTAAAGGATTGCTTTAAACAGATAGACAGTAAATTTCATTAAGTACCAACCACATTGTTCATCTTTTTTGGGGGGTGGGGGGACAGAGTCTCACTTTGTCACCCTGGGTAGAGTGCTATGGCATCATAGCTCACAGCAACCTCAAACTCTGGGGCTCCAGTGATCCTCTTGCCTCAGCCTCCCAAGTAGCTAGGACTACAGGCACCTGCCACAACACCTGGCTATTTTTATAAACGGAGTCTACCTCTTGCTCAGGCTGGTCTTGAACTCCTGAGCTCAGGCGATCCACCACCTCAGCTCCCCCATGGCGAGTGTGAGCCACCCCACTGCACCCAGCCCACATTCTTCATGTGGGAAGAATATTTAAAGAAGCTGGTCAGAGCTGCCTGTTGCTTGTGTATCAGAGAAGGCCATGCCTGTACATTCCAGTGGGGAAGGATAGGACTAAACTCCTTCTAAAGACCCTACCACACATATTTATAAAACAGTGTAAGGGTATTTCTGCATGGCCCTTCCTCATGAGAAGATGAAATTCTGATTCAAAAGATAGGTGCATCTCAGTATTCTCCAAGGAAACATGAACCATGTGGTTGGCACTCAACAAAATTAATTTTTATTCTTATTTACTTAAAGCCATCCATTAAATTACATAAATTCAAATTTGTGATGGCTCCTAGTTTCTCAACCTGAGAACCATGAGCCCTAAGTAAATAAATGTATTTTTAAGCGAAGAATAATAAGACAAAATAACACATCATCTGTTTCCTTGCCTTCACGTTTTTAGTAGTCTCTGTTTTCCCTCCTTGAAAGCCAAAGAAAGCCTGGGGGCTTTTACCAAGTAACCTTTGACTTCGTGTTTTGTCTTCATGCGACAAAGGAACAATAAAACTTGCAAACAGGCAATGTTTATGGGACCCGCCAGCTCTAGCCACACATCCTGCTCCTTAGCAGTGAGGACTGCCAGGAGCCCACCACCCCACCAAGCCATTTCAGTGACTCTGGGAGAAGCCTCCTCCAGGCACACGAAGGTAACCTGAGCTCAGACGCAAAGGGACTCAGAGTCCCCACCAGGAAGTGCCCCAGAGTCTGTGGGCTTGCTTTCTGCAACTGTGCTTCCTCCCTGGCCCAGCGTGACAACAGTGGAAGAAAGGTCTGCCTTTCTTCCTCATTTTCACTGTTTTGACAAGAAAACTTCCAGTGAGGTGCCCGAAGAGGCTCTTTATAGGATAATTTAAACAGTAAAACCTAGAGCTGCATGTAAATATCTGAACGTTAGATGTCTGCTTGACTATGTTGCATGCTAACAATACGATAGATGATAAAAATCATTCAGAAATGATTAAGGCCATGTGGCAACGTGGGAGAGGGTTAATAAGAGTATCAAGGTAAAATACAACGTGAACTAGCATGCATACCCACTGCGCAAATATAAAAACGTGCACACATGTATCGTGGAGTGGGATCATGCGTCATTAAAAAGTATACCAGCCACTAGGGTGGCTGTTTCATCTCCCAAGGATGAGAAACCCCGAGTGCATTAGGACAAAGGGAGCAGAGAAGGGCAGCTCCCCGGCCTTGATGCCCTCTCGACAGTGTACAGCACCTTCAGCGCTGGGGTACACCACGCTTCAGGGCTGTCCAGGAGCACCCAGCTCCCTCTTGCCAGATGCCAGGTTGGGGGCTGGCTCCAGGGCAGAGAGTGAAGGTGAGGGTTCAAGGTGACAGTGAGTAGGTGAGGCTAACATACAGCTGGCGGGCAGGGTGGCCCCAGCCTCTACTGCCCAGAACAAGCACCGGGCAGGCCCCACAGCAGCCACAGGGTCCCCAAGCAGGCTGGGCACAGAGGCTTAGGCCAGCTCAGGGCCTGGACCTCCCTCATCTCCCCAGACTTTCATACCTTGAACAAGTCATAGAGTTCTTCTAGGTCTTCAGGAGGAATTGAGACTTCTGGGATAACAACTCGGAGCTTAAGGAAATAATAAACAGCGATGGAATGAATTATAGGCCTGTAGCCCTGGCGACACCAGAGGGAGGAGAGGACTCTCACTCCTGGGGGGGCCCAAGGGCCTATGTTCCTCTCCCAACGGCTCCTTCATGACACACAGATCACTTTCCAATATCTTCTTTAGGCATTTTATCCTCAATCTCTTTCCAGCTCACACATTAGTGCCTCAGGACAAATGTATTAGCCCCTACTAGAATTTAAAAAGCTAGCAGAGCTCTAGCTTGGCAGGAAGACCCTTCTGAATTACAGCGGACCCCACCACAGATACGTTACGTACCTCACCTCCGTGAATCCTGCATGGTGGGTTCTATTAGCCTCATTCCACAACTGCAGAGACTGAGGCTCGTGGTGGTTAATATGCTCACAATCTGATTCTAAAACAACATGCGATGTCCATCCTGTATCACCCCTACTAAGTTTTAAATGCAATGCCAAAAAAAAACCCAAAACTGGCATTCTTATATCATGTGACCAAAAGGGACACACACTCCTGGGTTAGCTCCCGAATTCTGTGAGTACCCCTGGAGGTGACCTCTACTCACCACATTCTGCTTCGTGGTGTCCTCATGGCCTTGGAGGACCCTGATCCTGTGTTTACAGCGCAAGTGCTCGATCTGTTCCACAGACTGATCTCCAAATTTCTGCAGGAAAACCAGAGACACTCACAGAGTCCCCTTCTATGTCCAAACAGAGGAGGCAGAAGCAGCCCAGAAAACCTCCCACTGCGTCCACCTCGAGAGACAGTCGGGCCCCCTTACCTCATAGGCATCCCGGATCAGGTCAGCAATGTCAGTCACAGGGAAGGGCTCCTGGTCATCGGAGAAAAAGACATGGTGGCTGCCAATGGGAAGCCCCGGGCTTTCCTCATTCTTGATGTGATCTAGAAACCTGAGCACACCACCCGTTAAAGCTCAAGGTCCTTGCCCAGGACCACACAACACCCACCACCTTCACAGGGCGCTAGACATGCCGGAGCACCCACCACTACCAACACCTGGGGAAGGGGAGGGCTGCTTAGAAAAAGGGACAGCCAGACACAAACCAGGCTTGTCTTCTGGGCTCCATGTGTGGGCTTCCAGGGGCCTAAAACTCTGCAGTGAACTCAGCACAAAATTCCGTGCACACATTCAATTTATGGGCCCATGCCCCTTAAATGTCATTCAGCTGGAGCTCAGCTCCTAGAGAGCCAGGTTCCAGGGCTCATCTCCATGTGACTTTTCCTTCAATGCAGCTCATCAGCCCCCCCCCACAAAATGTCTGCAACCTTCAGCTGGTGGCCTGAGGCCTGGTGTGCCCCTAATCCCATTCAAGGCCACATCAAGCCATAGGACATTCAGTCTTCTAAAATAAAAGCACTTGTAACCCTCCTCTTCCTGAATACCCTCACCCCACCCCATGCCAGTTTCAGTGCCACATGGTGACCTGACTCTGGGGGAGCCACAGGGTGATGGCTGGCAAGGGTAGAGTGGGACAAAAACTTCCACAGAACAGCCAGGCACCTGCAACTGACTCCTCCTTCAGTTTTTGAGAATCTCAGCTACCTCCTTTGTCCCCATATGCCACCCACAGAAGCATGTGGCAGAGCCCACCTGCTGAGGACCATCAAGGCCTGGCCATCATCCCTGCTGCCACACAGCTCCTCGGCATTGGCTTCGAGTATAGCCAGTCCCAGCTGGAAGATGGCTTTGATCCCGTCGTAGAAGAAGCAGTCTACAACGTTCACTGCACTCTCCAGGGGCATAATGCTAAGGAACAGGGTCAGAAACCACGAGAGAGAAACGGACGCCAGGGCCGAGAGGTCATTCATGTGCTCCGCCAGCTCCGGGAGGTGGTCCTTGATGAGCTCCTCAAACACAGACTGGTCCACTTGCGCCCCTGGAAAAGGAAGGCCATGGAGTGCTGGTTAGGACAGGATTCAAGCGAGAATTAAAATGAGTCTGCTGAAATCGGAACAATGAAATGAAACCTGAGTCCAGGAAAGTACCCACAATTAGTTCACTGATTTTTGACATTGTGACCAAGGTAATTCAATGGGTAAATGCTATTCTTTTTCAAAAAAAAAAATAGTGCTTAATCAGCTGGAGACTGGCATGGGGCAAGGGGTGGAGAGAAATGCAAACCAAACCCCTACCTCCCAACACACAGAAAAACATATTTGAAACGGATAACTGACCTAATATAAAAGCTAATACTATTTATATAAACAACTTCTAGAGAAAATACAGGTAAAAGGCAAAATTTCTTGAGGCATAAAAAGTACTAACCATAGAAAAAATTATAATCTGAATTTTATCAAAATTAAAACTGCTGGCCAGGTGCAGTGACTAATACCCATAATCCTAGCGCTCTGAAAGGCTGAGGCGAGAGGATTGCCTGAGCTCAGGAATTCAAGACTAGGCTGAGCAAGAGGGAGACACCACCCCTACTAAAAATAGAAATATAAGCCAGGGGTTGCGGTGGGCACCTGTACTCAGGAGGCTGAGGCAAGAAGATCAAACCTAGAAATTTGAGGTTGCTGTGAGCTATGACACTATGGCACTCTACCCAAGGTGACAGTGAGACTCTATCTAAAATTAAATTAAATTAAAATTAAATGTAAAGTAAAATAAAATAAAATAAAACTGCTGCTCTTCAAAAAGTATCATTAATAAAATGAAAATACAAGCTTTAAGCTTGGAGAAAAAATGTACAATGCATATACTTGACATAGGTCTATTATCCAAGATAAAGAATTCCTGTGACCTACTAAGAAAGCAACCACCTACTTTTCTTAAATAGGCTAAAGATCTGAATAGACACTCAAATGAGATGGTAAACAAATGGTCAGTATGCATAGAGAAGTAAGTTTAACATCATTAATCACCAGAGAAATGTAATTTTAAAACACCATGATATATACCATTTCTTAGACATTAACATGGCTAAAATTAATAAGACAACACCAAGTGTTACCAAGGATGTGGAGCAACTAGGAATCTTATACACTGCTGGCATGGGATATATAAATGCATTACATCTACAGTTTCCTATGACTTATGACCCAGCAATTCTACTCCTAGGAAAATACTCAATAAAAATAATAATACATATTCCCCAAAGGACTTGAATGTGAATGTTCATTGGTACTTTATTTATCATATTCCAAAACTGGAAACAATGTGAATGTCCAACAACAAGTGATTGGACGAGCATATCACAGTATGAACGCACAGTGAAATACTACACAGCAATAAAGAGGGCCTCCTACTGATGTACCAACAACGTGGATGCCTCTCACAGTTACAATGTTGTGTGAAAAAACCCAGACACAAAAGACTACATTCTCTTTTTTTTTTTGAGACAGAGCCTCAAGCTGTCCCCCTGGGTAGAGTGCTATGGCATCACAGTTCACAGCAACCTCCAACTCCTGGGCTCAAGCGAGTCTCCTGCCTCCGCCTCCCAAGTAGCTGGGACCACAGGCACCGCCACAACGCCCGGCTATTTTTTGGTTGCAGCGTCATTGTTGTTTGGCGGGTCCGGGCTGGGGATTCGAACCCGCCACCTTAAGTGTATGTGGCTGGCACCTTAGCCGCTTGAGCCACAGGCGTCGAGCCAAAAGATTACATTCTCTATGGCTACATTTGTACAACGTTCAAGAGTAGGCCAAAGTAATCTGTGGTGATAGAAATCAATACCAAGTGTTGCCCTAGGGGAGGGGAAGAAGGGAACTTTCTGATGGAAATGTTCCAACTGTTTGATCCTGTCTTGAAGCAGTGATCACACAGATGTACACACTATCATAGAGGGTCTAGATGGTCTCTACTGAGTATCAGCTGTCACATAGCAACATTCATCAGACAGTGGCTTTGATAATGGCCTAGACAACATGCCTATCTGTGACACCCAGGTTCCTATTATTTCTTGCTTCTTTGTATTTTGCACCACCTCCCACAACAAAGCGAGCCCATGGACCACTGCCCAGCTGTCATCACTGCCCAGCTGTCATCACCTCCCAGCCAACCAATCCACCTGCCGGCCCCTCCTTCCTCCCAGGGGTCATCACATCTTTCAGTTCTTAGAACACAGTCTTTCTGCCTTGCCTGCTACATCCAGTCAATTGCCAAATTCTGTCTTAAGTTGGTTCTTTTATTTCTCTTCCTATGCTGCCACGCTGATTTTAGGCCATCTCCATCTCTCATCAGGATTACTAAAAAGTGTACCTAAGAGAATCATCAAGGGCTGGGCATAGTGGCTCACACCTATAATCCTAGCACTGTGGGAGGCCAAAGTGGGGTGATCCCTTGAGCTCAGGAGTTTCAGACCAGCCTGAGCAAGACCAAGACCCCATCTCTACCAAAAATGTTGAAACAGAAAAATTAAACAGGCATTGTGGCTAGTGCCTGTAGTCCCAGTTACTCAGAAGGCTAAGGCAGGAGGATCATTTGAGCCCGTAAGTTGGAGGTTGCTGTGAACTAGGCTGATGCACTCTAGCCTGGGCAACAAAGTGAGACTCTGTCTCAAAAAGAGAGAATCACCAACCCCAAATAATTTTTGTATTGTGTTCTCCACTAGGAGGTTGCAGGACCACAGAGACAGTGCAACCACAGGAAAGCATTAACGCTGTGCAAATGTAAACCACAGGAAAAGACAGAAGCAGCAATGTAGGAGTACAGTGGGACCAAGAACCCAGACAGCCAGACAGGCTTTCCTATGCTCTACTAAGGAAGTGGGGGCCCTCCAAGTCTGTCCTTTAACTGATGGTGCAGCCCTCAAGGGTCTCCATCACCATCCCACCCACCTCCCCTCCTCTAGGGACAAAATAGCCGCCCTCTTACCAGGCCATGGCATCAGTATAAAACCACGGATTTCACTTTTTGACTTGTTTGTTGGACCTTAGTATCTTCCTGTCCTTCTTGTAAGCTCAGTGATCCATCTAAAATAATGTGTGTGTTTGTTTTTCATCCAAAATCTGTAGGGTGAGTAGCAGGAGTGTACTTGGGTTACCTTATCCAACTATATTGCCAGAACTGAGCAGAGAATTATAGGACCCAAGTTAGTTTTGCAGATTCAGGTGTTAACTCATGCTGGGGAAGAGACCAGGTGAGTGGTACCGAGGAGTGTTACAAATAGGACTGACGGTAAACGTCCTGCCCAGGCTTTGTCACTGTCTCCCAGACACAGAGGAGGAGGAAGGGAAGGAGTTTACCGATCACCCGGTGGTTGAAGTAATCGGGCAGCATCCGCTCACACACGGCGACCAGCAGCCAAAAGGCTTCCTCCTCCTTGGCGTACAGTAGTAGCACAGAGGTCAGGATGTTCATGGACTGCTCAGGGGATGAGGGGGGAGCAGAGGAGGAACAGTTACCAGCCAGTCCACTTGATAGCACAGAGGCATGAAAAACACACAAGCCTGAACAACCCACAAAAGTAAAGATTTTGTAGTTACAGAGGTCCAGTGCACCCCAACCATACTGACACTTGGGGAGTGGAAGGACTGTGACCTCAACACAGTCCTCACAAGACACACCTACTTGAACAACTAGACACCTCTCAGTCCCCACCTAGTAATGTAGGATCCAGCCCCATGCAAGTCTCAGGCTTGGATCCAATTCAGCTATTCCCTAAGCATTCAGACAGATACACACATACCCCCCACCAACACAGCCTTATTCGCCCACTGATTTTGCTTATTCATAGGAAAACCAGTTTGGATTCTTAAATGTTTCCATGTCAGAGATTCACTACATCAGTCTTTAATGTTAGGTTTTTAATGCTGTGGATTCTAACTGAGTTTCATCTTCTGCCTGTTGACAACACTCTTCAACTCATGACCGGCTCAGAGGATGTCATCTTGTCTCCTGAAGGAAACTGACTAGCCCTGACCATCTTTGTCCTCTCTAAGTAGCACTGCCATTTTAAATAATCTCCGTAATTTCTGTAGAGGTTTAGAAGCTCTACAAACCCCATCCTATGGCTGCGCTCAAGAGAGGCTCGAATCTGCCCACTGCCTCGGCACCGTCACTCTGTCTCCCTTCAGGCACAGGGTAAATTCTTAAATCTCAAGCTATCAGTCTGCTTGACTATACAAAGCAGACTTCCTCTGGCCCTCATTTGATATATTCTTTCGAGGAGGGGACCAGCATGTTGTCTTCACACGACAGTCCTGGGGCTGGGCACAGAAGCAGGCCTGGGAGGGTGATCTCGCACAGACTAAGGGTCTCTGCACCTGGTGCCTGCCACTTCACCTGGCAGTATCCAATCTTGGGGTTCCGATGGGCATAGGCTGTCAGGACTCTCCTCAAAGCAGCGATCCCAGTTTCATTCTGGAAGGCGGGGTGCTCCGGTAGGGAGCGGTGCAGGTCCCGCTCGATCTCCTCAGTGACCAGACAGCACTTTCCCAGGGACTCCTCCACCAGATTTCCATAGTAACCCGGGTGCGCGGCCAGATCCGTCACAGCATCTGAGTTTTAAAAGCAATGTTTCATGGGGAAATGATGACCAGGAAGGTGTCACCGAGGGGAGTGCGCCCGTCCTGTCAGGGGACCCCATGGAGTCATGTTACTTATTGAAGGACATAAAATATTTTGAAACCACACAAAATCAAAAGGAATTCATTTCTGCCACATGGCCTAGTTCCGGAAACAGAAAAGTAAGAGAAAGATAAAAAAGAAATAAGGTGGATTTTTTAAAGAGTGACTTTACGTGGGAGGGGAGTTCAGAATAAAGGTAACTTTGTTAATATGCTTTATTAAGTTTTGTTCCCTAGAAAAAGAAGGAGCATATACACACCTAAACACACACAATCTCTTGCATAAATTCAACAAGAAATTGCATGGAGCAGGCGGTGCCTGTGGCTCAGTGGGTAGGGAGCCAGCCCTGTATACCAAGGGTGGTGGATTCGAACCCAGCCCTGGCCAAATTGCAATAAAACCGGGCATTGTGGTGCACGCCTGTAGTCTTAGCTACTCGGGAGGCTGTGGGAAGAGAATCGCCTAAGCCCAGGAGTTGGAGGTTGCTGTGAGCTGTGATGCCACAGCACTCTACTGAGGGTGACAGAGTGAGACTCTGTCTTAAAAAGAAAAAGAAAGAAAGAAATTGCATGGAGCACCTACAGATGACGCATGAGAGAAGGGCCCACTGTGGTGAAACGAAGCTAACAATTACAAAAGGCCAACCTGAAACTCTGAAGCTCAGGTTCAAGACGTGCAAATCACAGCAGGATAGATGACCAAGCACAGAAAATCCGCCCCACACCAGCCACCCACCACCAGCGCCACGGCCCAGGCCTCTCACAGGCAGGTGAGCTGCAGGATGGAGACACTAACACCGGGCGAGGATCTGCCCACTTGGCGGCCAGCACCAGGCACCTGTGGACATGGCCGGCAGCCCTCCCTGGGGTCTGAGGGCAGGAGGGCACAGAGAGGGGTCTGGTTCTGCTCTAACTGCTAGTTAACACTGAAAACTCTGCTGGGTGTAGTGAGACCCCCTTCTGAGCCCTCAGGCCCACGTCACTGACTGTGGCTCCCATCTGAGCTGCTGAGCTGACACTGTGGCATCCTCAGGTAATACCCAGCACTTTCCCCAAAAGCTGTCACTGCTTCGGCAGCAGCATAAACAGTACAGCAACCTTCCTGTCAATAAAGGAAACAGTCACTCACTGGGAATGACAGTGCTATATAAACTCACAATCACATTGGCCCACATGGAAATACAGGCCTACGTGAAAAGTGTGTGTGTGTGTGTGTGGGAATGTACAACAGGGATCAAGAAGAATGTACATCAAGGGTGACAGGTGTCACCTCCAGGAGTTGTGGCAATGAGAAACATTACTTTCTTTGCTTGCCCCCCATGCTCTTATATCTCAACTATGAATATATGCTGTTTTATTATATACAAAATACAGAAGAAATTTTTAATTTTAAAATAAAGGTATTTTGATGTTTTGGTAGGCAGGAGGGGTGCCCTGCCACAGGAAACAAGGAACATGATAGAGAAGCTGGATGCTACCAGGCATCGTGGCTCACCCCTGTAACCCTAACAGTCTGGGAAGCCGAGGAGGGTGGATTGCTTGAGCTCATGAGTTCGAGACCAGCCTGAGCAAGGGTGAGACCCCATCTTTATTAAAAATAGAAAAATTGAGGCAAGAGGATCGCTTGAGCCCAAGAGTTAGAGGTCGCTGTGAGCTATGCTGACTCCATGGTACTCTACCCAGGGTGATAGCTTAAGACTCTGTCTCAAAAAAAAAAAGAGAGAGAGAGAAGCCAGATGCTGTTGGGGCTGTTGGGAAGCATGAAACCTGTGTCTGTGTATCTCAGGTGGGGAAGGAGAGGGGAGGGATTACTGTGGGGGGAGACAGGGACGACGGAGGAGAGTGTTAATGGAGGCACGAGGGACTAGCAAAAGGCTGGCATGAGGTAGGACAAGGGAAGGTTCTAGCCCCAAGAGGAGAGAACAGGGAGGGGACAGGTGTGCAGGCCCAGCCTCTGGGAGCCTCACTGCTTACATGAGCATCACAGGGTCATCAGGGGAAGGCACCTCTCCTCCTGTCTCCCATAGCACCTTGAAATGCACGGGCAAGTCAGACCCCTGGATCACAGGGGCCTTCTCTTCCTGCCCTCAGGGTTCCCAGCTCCTTTGCTAAGTGGGACAAACCACTCCCAGGTGACATGGAGAGATGGATGAATGTCCACTCAGGAAGTGTCTGGGGAGCTCTGGTCCCAGGCTCAACCCCCCTGTCAGTAAACGTCCTGGTGAGGGCCTCTCAGATGTCACCCAACAACAAAAAGGGAGGCTACACGACTCGGTGGGCCAAGGGCTGTGAAGAAGGAAGAGGAGAGAAGTCTGCAACTCTTCCTGCTGTGGCTCTCATGTGTCTGCAAGGAGGCAGGAGCAATGGAAGTACTCTCTGAGGGCTTGTTTCAACACATGGCCAACTGTGTCTGAGGGACTTTGTCCAGTCTGTTTCACAGACATATCCTATAAAGACACTTCTCTTCCAGAGGGTTCTTAATAGAATTCTCAGCACTATGTAGAAACCCATTAAGTCATTTTTAAAGGAAGGGAGATCACGTTCCCTGAGGAGGAGGAGGCTGCCGCAGCTCAGAGGCCTCGGGCAACAGGACTAAGGCCCCACAACTAACACAGGGAGGGCTCTAAAGTCTTCAGCTGGGAATTCACAGGAATAATCCAAAGACAGACAACTCCATTGGTACATACACGCACACAAACTGCTCAGATTAGGGCCTATTTCTGTGTCCACTCCAAAAATAATAATATTTGGGCCAAACCACCAGCAACGCTTACCTGAGAAAAGCAGCCAAAGTCTTCCACGTAAAGATTCAGGAATCCCCATGGCTACGAGCTTCCGAATCTTCTCCGTGCGAAACATACACACGGTCCTGCCATACTCCGCAAAGTGGTCATTCCACAGGCTTATTTTTATCTGTTCCCTGGACTGGAAATGATAATATTATTCTTAACATACCAAGAAGCCCAGCCTCACCTGCCACCTGAGCTGAAGCACGACCTCTATGAACAGAGGCCAAGGGTGGCAGGCAATGACACCTGTGTTCAAGCAGCTAATAGTTACGACCCCTACCTAGGGGATTCAAAGATGTATAACCCACAATACCAGCCCCTCAAGAGCTCAGAACCCAGGGGAAGCATTCATAGATAAAATGTTATTTTCCTGTCAAGGTTGATAATAAGCATATGTCAATCCAAATGCTGAAGTCGCCCAAATCAGGTGAGAGGGTGGGATGGGGACATTGGGGAATCATCCTCAGGATATCGCTGCCAAGCCACCCGTCAAAACCTGGTCAGCTGGGAGGGCAAAGGGAAACAAGAGGGCATCACAATTTTCTTTTTTTTTTTGAGACAGAGCCTCAAGCTGCCACCCTGGGTAGAGTGCCGTGGCATCACAGCTCACAGCAAACTCCAACCCCTGGGCTCAAGCTATTCTCCTGCCTCCACCTCCCAAGGAGATGGGACCACAGGCGCCCACCATAGCACCTGGCTATTTTTGGGTTGCAGCCGTCACTGTTGTTTGGCAGGCCTGGGTTGGATTCGAACCCGCCACCTCAGTTGTATGTGGCTGGCACCTTAGCCACTTGAGCCACAGGTGCCGAGCCAAAGGCATCACAATTTTCCCTGAGCTTTCTGACAGCCAGGGGCAAAACAGAAACCTGAAAAACATACTTTTCTTATCAAGAGAAATGAGAAAGATACCATTTCTCTAGGCAACTGAAACTACTTGAAAATTATCCCTTAGGCAGCAGGAATGTTTGATGCCTTTAAACAAGATATTTATGTTTGCTTTTAATTACCTCTATTCTGTAGTAAGGGGAAAAATAAATACATACATTCAAAATTCTCATTTATTTAGTCAACGAGAGTTAATTAAACACCTATGTGTAAAGCCATGTGAGAAGGCTCAGTTTGGGATAAATAAAGCTAGCAATCAATCTACAGGCGCCATTAAGCAACCGAAAAGAAGCCTGGGGCAACAATGTTCACAGCCACTGCCTGGCACTCATGGTACAATGAGGCATCCACCTGCCGTGGCTCTACTTCAAAGTATAATTTCCAGTCACTTTACCCTATTGTATATGACCTTTGCCTCAAGTTCTCCTTATAAAGAAGAAAACTGTAAGTAAACATAGCAAAAATATTTTCAGTAAAACTAGAAGACAGGTGACCTTTTGTTCCAGAAGATAAAAAAAAAAGAGGACGATTTGTTTTATACCTGGAAACCCCATGGGGCCACATTGTGGGCTCCTAGGGCCACACAGCTGAGAGCAGCAGAGAGTGGCTGCAGGGCAGAAGGGAAAACCGTCCCTCAGAGCTCTGACCAGGTCAGCAGGACCCTTTCACTTTCTACCATGGAGGAAAAGAGGGAGGAAGAGCACTAGCTCCCCAGGGGCACCTGGCAACTGGTGCCACCTCGCTGTCCTGGGGCCCTGAGGAGCTGACATGAACAGGCGCCACATTCCACAGTGGGTCAGACTCCTGGGCAACCACCCTGCCCACCGCTCCACTCGTGGGGCCAGCAAGGGCAAAGCAGCCCCACCCACCATTCGAGAGTCGGGACTCTGGCTGTCGGACTGCTGGAAAACAGTGACCGGGGTGTCAGGGTGCAGCAGCGGGCTCTTCTCCTTCCCACTCTCCTCGCTATTTTGAGAAGACACCATTTCAAGATCCCCAAACCTGTGGTCACTGCACATGCTTGTTGAATGAAACACAGGAGATACCTACAGAGCAAAAAAAGAGGGGGAGGGAGAGAGGGAAGGAGAGAGAGAGGGAGGGGCAGAGGTGGGAGAGGGAGGGGGAGAGAGCGAGTGTCATGGCTGTAATTACGGGACAGTCTCTGTTTCGCACTTTGGTGCAGGAGCATAACAGACTCTGATCCTCAGGAAGAAGTGGCTCCTAGTTTCCCCCAGGGAGTCTGTTACGGCTCCAGGGGTGGGTCCACATGTAATCCCTCACGGGCAGCCTCGCCTTCCCCTCAGCTTCTGGAACTGGGGAGGATGACCATACTGAGAAAATGGCTCTCGGTACAAAGAAAGGCTGTGTCTTCTTTTCTCCCTGTCACTACTTAGGATAAAAAGAATCAGGAAGAAATAGCAGGCCAGGCTCTACCAACCCTCTGCCCAACCTCAAGGACAATGAAGCTTCTCTTTCACCAGGTTGCATCTGCCCTGAAATGATGTCATCCCCTTGAACCTCAGGGGCAAGACTGTCAAGCCCTCTACCTTTTGAATGAGGAGAGTGTCCCCAACACCCGACCCAGTTGTGGGTAATCCACATCAACCCCCTAATTGGTGCAACACCCACTCAGGACCCTTGTGTATCAGACGTGACACCAGACTAGACACAGCCCAGTGGTCTCTTCTCATCCTCAGGTGGATCCCTTCATGTGTCCCCCTCTGGAGACCACTGCCCCAGACACGGCCAGAAAAGGCACCTCCAGTGTATCAAATCTGACCATTCTGAGGGGCCATACCACGTCGTCATTTGTGGAGGCGTCATAGTGCACGGGGTGGTTGGCGTGGACCTGCTTCAGCCTCACGAGCAGCCCCTCCACCAGGCGGTCTCTGTCCTTGAGCTCGATGAACTGGAAGGCCATCTTGCTCCTGATGCTGACGATGATGGGGTGAGGCAGCAGGCTCGTGTCTTCCATCTTCTCGATGCTCACCACCTGTCGCCAGAGACGACGGCAAGGAAAAGGAAAGGCAGGTGTCTAACAGCGTGGTCAGAAACTATCCCAGGATAGAACCACATAACTGCGACAAGAAACTGATGCAAAGGTTGGAAAGTGAACAAGGCGGCACTGTTCACCATCACCAAAGGGGGAGGCTGCCCCTTTGATAACATTATAAAATATCTCTGTCGGGGCTCCCGGGAACTCTGACTGGGACAGTGATTGACAAGGCAGATGGGGCTGCCAAAATCAAGAGATTTTACACCAACTAATAGCATGAAGACTGGAAGCTTGGAGAAGCATACACCATCTCGCTGCAGGGTGGCAGCCTGACATGCAGCCCTGGTCCTGCTCCTCAGGGGTCTTTTCTTGAGTACAGCAACAGAGTAAAAGTGCAAGGACGCAAAGCAGTTAAAGATAGAAGACAGGGGAGCTCAAGACCCCCCAGAAGGTTGGTTAAAGGACAGCAGGTGGATAAATAGGAACACAGGGAAATGGACCATCTGAAATGGCCAGATAACAGATACAAGGAGAAGAGAAGGGGGAAACAAGTTTCATCCCTTTGGGCTGTCTTAACTTCCCTAATACTAACTACTCAGCAAGAACCTAAGGGCGTCAGCCCGCCTGCACTGCTGAGCCCCCAAGCAGGGAGAGTCACAGAGACATTCCTCTGACGGGGCGCCTCACCCTGAGTGGTAAGATCTGTGAGGAATTCAGCCTGCCCGCCTCCCACACACCCTACCAGAACCTAAGGAATGGGCCATTTAAATAAACAAAATGGGGGGACTGTGGGAGGGAGGGAGGCCAAGTTCCCCATGGGCCCTTCGAGCCAGAATAAAGCCCACGGGTGGGCCACCCCTATACTAATTGAGAAGAAAGGAGTCTGAAGGCTGCCCAGTTAGAGAAATGTCTGTGTGACTATCCCTGGGTGGGGAAATCAGCAGTACAGGTCGGCTGAAACAATCAATTAATAGTTTAGAGCAGGGAAGCTAGGATGTCCGCCTGAAGAGACAAGACCTGCTCTCCACCTTCCTTCCTTGCATACGTTATGTCAGGCGTCTTCAAACTTTTTAAACAGGGGGCCAGTTCACTGTCCCTCAGACCATTGGAGGCCAGACTGCAGGCCGGGGCCCGGGATGAGTCGGCTGCTAAGCAGGACAGGCAGCGGTGGCAAAAACACCTGGTAGGCCAGATAAATGTCCTAGGTGGGCCACATGTGGCCTGCAGGCCGTAATTTGAGGACGCCTGCTATGTTACCCGGCCACTTCAGATGTTCTGTTACCCATTTTCCTGGTTATCCTACCATTACCCTCTACCCAGCCTTCCTGGGGGCTGTAATCTCCCCCTCTCGTTTTTTAACCTTGACCGCTATGCCTTCTTGCACACTTACTCTGTTGCTGCACCCAGTGCAAACTCCTGGAAGCAGAACCAGCAGCTGCATGGTTTCAGGCTGCCACCTGGCACAGGAAGCAGTGTCTGCCCTTTCAGGCTGCCAGGCTTTATGCTTTAAGATTGGTGCAAAGTCTCTTGACTTTTCTAGCACCATCTCCCTTGCTGACCACCATCCCAGGTTGGGGTCCAGAGGAACCCCAACAGTAGTCCATCCACATGATGGAATATTATGCAGCCTTAAAAAGGAAGGAGGTTCCTACACATGCTACAACATGGATGGCCTTGAGGACACTATGCTAAGTGAAATAAGTGAGTCACAAGGACAAAAGTTGTATGAATCCTCTTGTGTGAGGTACCTAGTAGGTACCTACCTACTAGAGTAGTCCAATTTGTGGACAGAAAGTAGAATGGGGGTTGATAGAGAGTGGAGAGGAGAGCTGTCATTTACTGGGTGCATCTTCAGTAGGAAGATAAAAATGTCCTGGAGGGCTGGGTGCAGTGGCTCACGTCTATAATCCTAGCACTCTGGGAGGCTGAGGCGGTGGACTGCTTGAGATCATGAGTTCAAGACCAGCCTGAACCACAGTGAAACCTCATCTCTAAAAATACCTGGGCGTTGTGGTAGGCACCTGTAGTCCCAGCTACTTGGAAGGCTAAGGCAAGAGAATTGCTTAAGGCCAAAAGTTCGAGGTTGCTGTGAGCTAGGACACCACAGCACTCTACCAAGGGTGACAGAGTGAGACTCTGTCTCAAAAAAGAAAAAAAAGAATATTTGTAAAATGATGACATCTAGCACAGAATAATGACATGGAGGTAAGCGATCACATGAATAAAAGAGTTTTGAATTCTTCCAAAGAGCAGTACTCAGTACGTATGTTACAAGGGAGGTCTTGACGACGTAATAGGTGATATATCAGCAGAGATACCTTGAAACCAAAGGAATGAGATGCTCAGATCTAGAAGTAAAGTCAGGTTTCCCCCCATTTCCAGGAAGAGAACTGTAGGAAGAAAAGATCTGAGCCATATTAAAAGTATTTAAAAAATTTCTAACCCAAGTTCCAGGACAGTATAAAAGCCAAGCAATTTGCCATTTATTTTCAAAAGATGAGGTGAAAGGGGAGGATTCCTTCCAGAGAGCTGCTTGGAAAAATTTAATCGTGAAGCATGTACTTTTTAATAACAGCTTCATTGATAACGTAGACGTTGGGGTACCTTATTTTTGCCAATCACTTCTAGGCAAATTTCAGGTCACCATAGCGATAAGTGGAAAAGCAGTGACCAACCAAATGAGTAACGGTCCAATTCAGGCCATGCTTCCTTCAGGAAGCCCAGCCATCTAGTCATCCATCTTTCGATGGCAAAGCCGTGAGGTCTGAACATCCCCTCCCGGGCTCCATCTCCCAGCCAGGCACTGTCTACCTCTCTGAGCGGCAGGATGACCTTACAGCAGCCATCTTCTCTGCTGGCAAAGCAGACGTAGCTGTCAGAGGTGAACATCCGTCCCACGGTGTGGCAACGACTGAACGGCGTCCAGAGAGAACAGTCCACAACCTCATGCAGCTTCTCCCTTCTCGGCAGCCTGAAGAAAGCCCGGAAGAACTCGTTCTGGGCTCTGGCTTCAAGGTCCCTAGGGAAAGAGGGAGCGAGAAGAAGGCAGAGGCAGAAGTGGTGAATGGATGCTTGAGATCACAAAGGAAAATACCTTCCAACCCACTGACATGCCCTGATATTTAAGCAAATGCAAAAAGGGACTGTGCCCCTCCACTGCCCGTGCGTGTGTGTGTCACACACTACAGCCACACAGCCAACCTCAGGACAAACACTGACAGTAAAACCTGCTGCCTCTGGGCCAGGCGTGATGGCTCATGTCTGTAAATCCTAGCAGTCTGAAGGCCAAGGCAAGTGGAGAACAGCCTGAGCAAGAGCAAGACTCCATCTCTACTGAAAATAGAAAAACCAGCCAGGCATTGTGTCAGGAGCCTGAGGCAAGAGGATTGCTTGAGCCCAAGAGTTTGAGGTTGCTGTGAGCTATGATGAGCCCAAGAGTCTGAGGTTGCTCTGAGCTATGATGATGCCACAACACTCTACACAGGGCGACAGAGTGAGATTCTGTCTCAAGAACAAAGTCCAATAATAACAAGCAGTGGTGAGGATGTGGGGAAATTGGAACTCTCCTACACAGGTGGGCTTAGAAAATAAGTCTTTCAATACCTCCGAAAGTTAAAAATAGTCTTACCACTTCACCAACAAATTCCACTTCTAGGTGTATCTACTCAAGAGAATTAAAAGCACATGTCCACTCAAAAACTTGTACATGAATGTTCACAGCACCATTATTCATGATAACCAAAAGATGGAAATAATCCAAATATCCATAAACTGATGAATGGTTGAACACACTGTGGTATATTCACACAACAGAATATTATTGAGCCATGAAAAAGGAAGGAAGTACTATTGCGTGCTACAGCGCGGATGGACCTTGCAAACATCATATTGTGTGGAATAACCCCAACACAAAAAGACTACATACTGTCTGATTCAATGCTTATGAAATGTCTGAAATAGAAAAACTTACAGACAGAAAATAATCAGTGATTGCTCAGAGCTTGGGGGGAAAGAGAGAAATGAGGAGTGACTGTTGGTAAGTATGGGATTTCTCTGGGGCATGCTGAAATATTCTAAAATGGATTGTGGTGATATTTGACAGATATGTAATAAAAACCACTGAATGCGACACTGTGAACAGGTGAATTGGATGGTATGTAAATTTTAAAAAGCTGTTGAAAATCTTAGATCTGTGTCTGGCATATAATAAGTACTCAGTAAACACTAGCTATTATTACCTTTAACAACAAAATAATTTTTTTAAAGAGACAGGGTCTTGCCCTGTTCCCCCAGGCTGGAGTACAATGGTGAGATCAGAGCTTACTGCAGCCTTGAACTCCTGGGCTCTAGCAGTCCTCCCATTTCAGAACTAGAGTAGCTGGGACTACAGGCTCATTCCACCACACCCAGTTAATTTCTCATAATTTGTGTAGGAATGGTCTATGTTGCCCATGCTGAACACAAGCGAAATATCACTGGAGAGAAGCCCCAGCCCTGTCACGTCAGTACTGACAGCAGAGAACAGTGATAAGAAAAAGGAAGGGATCCCACTCCTGAGGGCCCCCCTCCCTCCCAACGCTCTTATTTTTGGCTCTAAACCCCAGCAAAGCAAGAAGGCAGCCAAGTCATAATGTTTGGAAACATTAATGAATTGAAGCCATACCCCCAAATGCTAGTAGAGGGGAAGTTCTAACACAGAGAGGAAAAAAAAAAAACATTCTTTGGCACATTAAATATGAATTCTTTACAAATATAAAGACAGAATTAGCACTTCACTCAAAGGAAGGCATAGCAATTCTTGGCTTTCTTAGTAACTCTGTCACCCTAGATGAGACTCTCAGTATCTCATTTTGATTTCTATGAAGTAGAAATAAAGCCTGACTTTTCTGTTTCATGTGATCCCTGTCATCTAAAATGATGTCCACAATACTGTAAAAGAGAAAAGGCAGGTTAGAAACAGCACCTACCATATTATCTCAACCACACAAACTCTTTAAAATGTGCAGAAGTGACCATACAAGGACTTTATCTTAAATGTTAAGAGCGGTTGTACAACTTTGCATACTTTCCAGTTTTATTTTCCTTAAATTTTTCATAACCACATATTAGCTTTTTAAAAACATAAACTATTTTCTTTGGGGAACTGAACAACTTTTAAAATGTTTACATAAATGCAAGATTGTAAACCCTGAACTCTGAACCTGCCACATACAAGATTGCGACCACGGAGCTCCCGACATATGACCTCACCTCAACTTGGACTTGTGTCCTTCTGTACCAGGTTTCATTCCCAACCATCACACAGCTGTCTTCCAGGCAGCAGCTATCATACAAAGATGGACGCAGTCCATGGAATTTACTGTCCACCCCTCACAAAGACACATACATGCCCAGAACGTCCTCTGGGCACACAGAGAAATGATCTAAGTTCTACAGACCATAAGGGCACCTGTTACTGTGGGCCAAAGCTGCAGTTCCTTAATTGCCTAGTACAACACGGCCTAAGGGGCCGTGAGAACAAGGGGCCGTGTTTCCTAAGGGGCCAGGAGAACAAGACGAAGTGCCGTAAACACTCTAGAAGTTTACACCTGGCAAGAATAGAAGACAAAGTTCCTCGAGATGACCCCAAGTTCCCTGAAAAAGCTGTGTCCAAGGCAATTAGATTGGAAAACGCATATCCTGGTCCCCAGAGCTTGACCATGTTGGCTTTGCTGGAAGTCCAGTCATCGCTCACTGCCTGCACGGATACCCCAAACACAATTCTAGGCACCAGTGAATTCATCTGTCGTCTTTCCTTTCTGGAAGGCCATTTTCCTTTCCCCTCCAGGGAGGGCCAAGGCCATAGTGAACACAAATCATGGCCACTTACGCCGAGCCACAGAAAGACTAGAAAAATTTATATTTACATTTATTTTGCATCCAACTCCTCAAAGTAAGAATAAGGTGCTCAGATGTCTGAAGCCAGCTGAAAATAGTTTTGAGGGGTTTTTTGTCTTTTTTTGGTTTTCTATTCAGTGTATCTGATGCCTTAGGCAAAAGCTTGGTTTAATTAACTTCTCTATGGCTTCCGAGCAGCCTGGGCAAACCGCACACAAAGTCTTCGTTCTCCTTTCTGGGCCATCTCTCTCCCACTGGAGAGCAGTGTTTTTCAACCATTTTTATCTCACGGCACACTTCCACCTATAGTTAAACTTCCATGGCACACTTAAATTATGTTGATCCAAAAAAAAAGAAAAAGAGTAAAAAAGGAATACATTTCTGTGCTTTAAACGTCTTTCAAAGACAACTTAATTAACGGTCTTTAAAAATTTTCTCGGCATACCTAAGATCCCCTCACGGCACACCAGTGTGTGCCGCACACAGGTTGAAAATCGCTGCTGTAGAGGTCTGTCTCCTGCACATGGGTAGCCAGGGACCAGAAACCTCATGAAACAAAAACATTTAGCAGAAATACATAACCCTCAGCAAACTCTTCCTAAGAGTTATTTTCCTTCCTCCCTGCTAGAAAGTTGTCCTTCAATGTCACCTTTAAATTTGTGTACTAGACAAGATATTTAAATTTCTTTCTTT